ATGAGCATAATTGATGCTTTAAAAAGATAACTCGATTACTGGCAGTTGCACATTTATAATAAATTTCAATAGCAACATTTTGTTGCTCTAAATTATTCATGAATGAGTATTTCCATTTTGTCCCTGAACCCTAGACTTAGTGATTTTTTTTGGCATGCTGAATAAATTTCTTTAATTTACTAAGTTCGTTAAAATTTGCAATTCAGATTTTTGTCATAAAAAAATTTGTGGACAGATGAAAACTAAGCATGGTTGAGTCACATGTCACTGAACTGGACTAAGCAATTTCTCAGAACTGAAAACTTTTTCTTTAGTTTTAAAGCTGATGAAGTGAGTTAATTGTTCCACTCAACATATACAAAATATTTTTCATATTTTTTGCTTGACATAAAAAGCAAGCATCAAATGAACATGTTCAGCAGTTTATGCGATTCAAACATAAACAATATTGCCTGCCATAAAATTGAGACCACATTTTAGAGTGAGCAGATGCTACAATAAAATTGTGAGGCGGCGATATTAATGATTATAAAGACATTAAACATCTTTTCTCACATAAATTTTTTTAATAATTTTAAGTTCTCAAGTTTTCTTTTTAAATCAGAACACATGAGATGCAGGAATTAAATCAAGTTAAGTGAATGTTAAGCGTCAAATTAACTCATACACAATGCGATTTAAGTAACTGCACAAATAAATGCATGCGGTGAAGGTATAGATCGAGAGAATAATAAAAATTGGCAGATGCTTGTTATAAATAACACTCGCTTCACATAATATGTAAAAAAAACGACACATATCACGTACCATTTACTCTCTTTTCTCTATTTTAATTACGAAATATAATCTAACATCGGTAATTCATTCAGAATTTCAGCTATGCTTTATATTTTACTGCTTCTTTCTTTTTTTTTTATTTTTTATTTCCTCTCAACCCTAACTGCACTATTTTTTTTTATATGTTTTAGAATTAAAAATAATAATAATATGAAAAGAGTCCATCCTGTGAACGAGTAGACAAAAAGTACCTACAAATAATAAATACGAAAGGATATATGAACATGTACGAAAACAAGAAAAGAGAATTGAAAAATTGAAATTTCCGCACGTGGCTTTGAAAATAGTTTTTTATGCATGCCCTCTCTCCTGCTTTTCTATAGTTTACATTCTTTTCAGGCACTAGAACTCAAAAAAAGATTAGAAAAAAAACATATATAACGCACTGGTTAAATCGTTTTGTTACATTTTTATGTTGGATAGAGAGGAGATTATGTTGAACATCTATGCTCATAAATCTCATGCATGAATGTGCACCTTTCACCGCTGCATGATCTTTTGTTGCTTTGGATTTCTTTCTAGTTTTTACGGTAGCCAGAGTTGTTTATTAGGTTCTTGGATTAGACAAGATAAGTAAGAGCTCGCAAGACTAAAATACTTGACTTTAATCTTTAAGCTTTTGAATGGATATAAAATCTGTTATTGTTTTGAGCACAAAGTTCCTTATTTCAGTGGACAGAATATTGAGAAGTTGACACCCAGATAACAACACTGCCACAACTTTTTATGTTTTAAACAGAAAATATCTGCATTTATCTAAAAGTGGATTGTATATTCAGCCACTTTATGTGGAGAGAATTGTACTCAATTTAAATCAATAAACTATGTCAACTTTTATAGATTTTATTGCGTTTACAACATAAATTTTAAAAAAATAAATTTAGGAAAGTGAAGAAAGATCACGCCGATCATAAAAATCAAAATAAGAATAGAACAAAAGGGAGCTGTGGAATAAATAAAATCACAACAGCTGAATGCCTTAAAAATCAATTGTTATCGACATCCATTAAAATTTGTTGATTGAATTATTGAAGAGATTTCAACAAAAATGACCATGTGAGATATTGGACACATTTTACAGCAGCTTTACTGTGTCTATAACTGGGATATTGATAAAGAATTTATCTTAATAATTTGCCAGTCATTAAAATCCATTAGGCAGACGAGATTAATTGCATTAATCCATCACATTTACGGGAAATTCACCCCAAAAATAGATTAGGCATAAAGTGCTCACGAATATGATGAATTGTCTATTATTAGCAGATGAATTTAAATTCTTATGGGATGAAAATATCAGACAGTGATGATCAAAACAGTTATTTCCCTAAAATTATGGTTTGTTTTTTTCGGTGGACGCCAGAAAAGAGAAGCACTCGACAAATGGATTTACGTAGAAAATCATTCATCATTCCCTTCTGTTTTATTTCAAGATTTATCAAGCATAAATGAGCTTGTTACTTATTTTGTCTAAAGAATTGAAGATTAAAGGCACTTTAGATCCATGATTTCATGTGACTATATCTGAGTCATATTGCTGTAGGTCATGAGGTCATCAATAAATTCTACAGTTCTTTCAATTCATAAGAATTGAAAATTTTTCACTGGATGAAGTATGTAGAGATATGTATTAGACTTTGTTGGATGTAATAAGAATCTATATAGGGTTGTTTACATTCAGATCGAGTGGTTTAAAGTCCCTACAACCTAGCTACCAAGATAATCCCCAAACTAAGGTTATCAGTCAAATAACCAGTTTAACCGCAAGTCAAATGCTTTATAATATCAGTCAAATTATGCTGTAAAGTCATGACACATTTGTAAGTGCGGATCCTGAATGATTAATTAGTTTAACGTCGCTAATTTTCACTCCAAAAAAGTTCACAACCAACAATGTAAAATGCTTACAAAAAAGAAGAAATTGAAACTTAAACGACACAACTCGCTAAGGCACAAGCAGCAGTACACACAATAACGCGGTTACAACTTCTGTATAAGTGCGATATGATAAAATGAAAGATGAAACAGAACGATATGCTTGTACGTATTGAGAATACTTTCTTTATTCTATCCATCATCATAAATTACTCTACACACAGCGACGAAAAGTAATGTCAAATACACTTGTCATTCACATATACAGTCCTCAATTTTTCATCACTATTAATAAAGTGGTGTCATGTTTTTATTTGCATAGAAAATGAGTAGATATATGAAAAATAAATAAACAAACTTGAAACTATCCATGAGAAGAATTTAAAAAAAAGCTATTGAGACATTTCCGATATGGATATATTTGTTCTTTTGGGAACTAAAGACTCATTCATACAACCCCTCAGAAAAATGAAAAAAAAAAAATATCTTGAAATTCGATACTTTTGTTGAGAGGTTAATTACTCTAACCATTTTAATTATTGGAAACTGATAGTGACCCTCAGCACTGCTGCATACATACAAATTGCGACACTATTCAAATAACAATTAATAATGCTTAGAAAGTGATATTATTTTGATAAACAACAAACTATTTCGAGCATTTTACAGTTTTCTTCTTTTGAAATTTAATTAAAGTACAAGAAACATTAAAAGAACAAGCAGCACAAAAACAATGCATTGTCTAAGGCTTAGGAATAATGTTTTGTAAGTAACGCATTTTAAGTTTTTGTTGTTTTGTGAAATTCCAATTGGAAAGTTTAACACTAAGTTTTTGGTCAAATTTTGGCTATTCTGGGTGATTTTTGGTTCCGAACCTTTTCTTAAAACTAGATGCCTATATTAACCTCAGTTGTCAAGCTAGTCAACAGCTAATTCCTCTTAAAAATCAAACAAACAGATTAATCTTACATTCTTAAGGATTATTCTTGCTCAAATTCAACCGAACCTTGCAAAAACTCAAAAAAAATTAAATCCAAAAGTTCCTAGCATTCAATACTCCTTAAATATTCTAAATATCAACATCCAGCAGACAAAACAAACTTTGTATACAGTTCTTCTTCACCTGAACATGCTCCAAACAAAAAAAAAACGTTCTGCGGTCATATTACTGTTAAAACTGAGCTTCTAGCAACATAAAAAATGGTTAATTATAATGCACAAATAAAAAACATGTGGCTGAACATTATCTTCAAGAAACTTTTTATCTATTCTGCAAAAATGCACTTTTAACCATTAAAATTTTAATAAAAAATTTTGTGTAGACATCTGTGTGTGCTGCTTAAAAACGCTTGTGCACGAATGCAATACCTCATGCATGCAATTGGCAAAGCAGGTAAGGGTTTGTACGTATTGCCTTTTGTCAATAAACACCTTTCGTCCTTAACTCATTGTAGTCAGCTTTTATGAGTAAAAGTATATGAATTAAAAGGAAATGCAACCCTATTGAGAAGAATATCTTGTTATTGAATCCATTGTTTACTAAATAAATAGGATATATATATATATATATCTTTCCTATTTCAAATGGTTCCGCATCTTTACAACTTTTCCGTTGAAATCTTTCATTTCTTCCCGGCAAAAAAATAAAAAAAAAAAACTGATTCTGTTTTGATGATAGTAGCAGCCTCGAGAATGTATACATAGTAATACACAGAAAAATATTTCAACGGCGGGTTGCAAGCACACCAAGGCAAATACCAAACAATAAAAAAACCTGTTTCATTGTATTTTATTTCACGTTATTATACGTGTATGAATGTTCAACGTCACTTGAAAAAATATCGAAAATTATTTCGAGTCACTTTTTAGGCCTTTTTTACATCCAAAATTCAGCTATTTGAATAATAATTGATTTCAATTCTGAAAATCGATTTGTATTACATTGATCAATTGAGGATGAAGAAGCGATTTTTGGGCATTTAATTGATAAAACATTTTCAAACAATTTGCCTCTATAAAAAATTGGTCAAGCATGCTTCAGCAACAACACAATAAAGTTAATGTTGTGTCATTCCACACCCATCGCGATCGCATTTTTAAAGAATTGAAATTTATCAAATAATTCTATGAATTTTTAAAAATTTATCACATTTTCACATTCATAGGCATGATCACTCTTTGGAAATTTCTCACAATTTATTTATTTGAAGCTTTTTTTTGCATTAACGATCAACTGAAAATCGGTTAACGCCCAAACTGGAAGAATTAGTCATCTTGATTAATTTTACCTTAAAATTGTCGCTTGCACGAGCTGCTTATTATATTAATTGACAGTATTCCTTGAGATGAATTGCTTCCTTGTTGTAATCCTTTTCAGTTCTTTCGTATAGCTTTAAATCTTATCAGTTAAATTCAAGCAGGTTGAATAATTGATTGGCTTAACACTAACACTATCAAATAATAACCAATTTTTTATGCTTAATTTTTCTTATTCCTGTGCTTAATTCCTTATTTTTTCTTCAATATTAAGTATCTTAAATGTAACTGCAAATAACTGACACAGGATTCAAATCGGATATTGCAAGGATATACACTCAAATATGAAAAGAACAGCACGATACACATACGTCTTACACGTTCTGCGGCTCAACTGGAACTGCCAATGTTTGACAGTTTTTACACAACCGTCACTGTTACTTACCCTTTATTTTGTGTTCAGACTTTTGTGGCTGTTCGATTTCCAGCCGTTGTTTACAAACAATTGTTGATATTTACAAATTTTAAAGTTTTGACTGAAATGAGAATTAATGATGGACTGCATCTTTGTGGAAGGTTGTGAATTTAGGATAAGAATTGATTTGCAATGGATTTAGAAAATGCCATTAAATTTTCGTTTAAAAATATTCCAAAAAACATTGTGACACAATAACATTACACATGCATGCATTCAGTCTGTGTCAGAATGATAATGTTCGCATGCCGCATGCCGTATGCTTCTTGATACTTTTTGAGCATGTATAACGAATATATCTTTCTATAGAACAAATGTTTGTGTATCTATGAGATCATACTTTATATCATCGATTGTTAAATTGCAAATAAAATGTAAAAGGTCGACGAACGAACTTCATCAAATAAATTAGATTTAATTACTTCATAATTCTACAATTTGAAATCTCAGCTCCAAGTTTTGAAGTGTTTTGTCTTACTTCAAGTCAGAGAAGGTTTTCAGTCTTTAATTTGTTTGTTTTCAATTGATTGCTTGTCTTTTAAGTCTTAAAGACAATTTAAGAAGACAATTTAAAGTTAATGTTTAAGATATTAATAGTGGATGCGATTTTGAGATTAAGTAAACGATTGAATTGTCCGAAATTGCAAGTTAGAGTTTGCTTAAACTTTTTAAAGCAATACTAGTAAAACTAGCAAAATCCTAATTCTTTATAACTTAATAGTCCATAACAATTTCTAAGACAATATATTTAAGTTATTCAAGAATCAATACAGCCTAAAAGAAATCAGATCACCCAAATTACAATAAATTAATCAGCAAAAAGATTTTTTTGTTAAAATACATTTATTTTCATCTCAAATAAATAACATGAATTAAAGCATTAGTACTTTCTAATTTACAATTTAAAGTAAACAATTATTTTTAAACTTATCAGTTAATGAACATCTTGCATTTAAAAGAAGAGATTGCTGTTCCAAAATAAGTATATAATTCCAACTTAATATCGAAGACTTCAATGATTTTAAGGAAGTTCTTATAAATTTAGATTTAAAGATCAATTTTTCATTATTTTGTTGACTTAAAAATTTTGACAAAATTTAAGAATATCAAAAACTTTTTAAGGCTTAAGTTCCTGATTTTAATCTCTTACTTTTAAAGTGAGAAATTGTTAAGTAAAAAAGTTATTACATTTTATTTTCACTCAGTTTGTGTCTATCTTCTATATGGTGTTCTGCTGTATCGACCCCGATCGTTTTGTTCCTTGAGTTGCAAAAAGTGTGATAATACGACTGCCCACATGTAGAAGTAAATGACTAAAAAAGAGCATTGAAAATTGAATTAATTAGACTGTAAATTAATTGATCATATCCAGTTGAGTTGTTTGCTAATTTGAACCAATGATTGAGTGCTAATCTGCTTAAAAACCTGGTTTTAAGAATTGTTCTGTAACTGAATTCCTTTTAATATTGAAACAAGACAGATCCAGGTCAAGCACATAATCATAAGCATCTAGCAATCAACTATGACATTCACAAAACTTACCAACTGCAAGTAATCCAAAAACAAGCCAATAAATACCAGCTTCAACTTTATTGTCAAGAAAAGCTACAACTGCCGTGTAAATGACATCAACTAAGAGACCAATACACAGCATAATACCCAAAATGATCCATGGTAAAAAGAGATATTGATTTTTCTGGAAGTGGAAAGTTTTTTTTATGATTCATAAAAGAATTTGTCAACAATTAAGACTTACGATTAATGCTCCGATGATCAGTAATGATGATAGAATGATTGTCATGCACAAATTGACGATTAAAATAATTTTAATAATATATTTTGGAATAATATCATCGAAAATCTATTGAAATTGAAAGAAAAATTAATCAATTGGAATTAACTGAACTGTACACAGCACAATAGACTTACAATTGTCTTATAATCAAGTTTTGCATAGACAACTATAGCAATGGTGGCAATCGACAGAAGAATTCCTAATGTGCCTGCAATAATAGTACCAGCTTTTAAGCTAGCACATCCACAACATGATCTCAACCGGTTTGGTGATCCCATTTTAGTGACTTAGTTTGTACTACGGTGAAAATGCTCTTAATAATTCGTTTCGTGTATGCTTTTTGAAAAATCTGTTAAGAAAAAAGAACATAAAATGTGTGAGAGATTTGAATGGAACTAATCTATGACGCCAGTCAACCTAATTAGTAAGAATGTAAATAGAAAAATATATGAAAATGTATGCTAAAGGCTATAAAACCTCACACTGAATATCAACTCATAGGTCAACTAATAAAAAAATCAAAATGCTATTCTGTCTCATTCCGTCTTCCGATTACAGTGTAAATTACACAAAAAAAATCTTTATCTGTTTTTTATTACTAAGCTATTGAAATGTTTATTTCTTTAATTCTTGTACTCTATCTTCTTTTATTGGGAAATAAAAAGTAATTTACACTATGGGATTGGGAAATTTTCATATTTCTCTGGTTATTGATTGATTGATTTGCATTTGGGGGCCTGTATTAAATATCATGCGTATTGACTCGAAGAAGCAACTTGAATAATCATAAATTTTTTTATATCTAGTCTGGTTTTAAGCATAATCACACCTTAATAGTATGGATTAGCATCGAGATTTGGATACGAATGAATATTGATTGTTTAATGTTCTTAGTCTTGATTGAGAATATTAATGAGCATATGGCTGACAAGCTGTTACCATCACAATAATTATTATGCACAATGTGAGTATTTAATTTTTGAAAATTCTTATTTTCAAAGCAAAAATCATAAAAATTCATATTTTAAAAAAAAAATCCCTGAGATTCTCAGCGTTAAAACCAAACAAACAGACACACTAATGAGCCATTAGCTTCTTTATTATTACTAAATTGTCTTAATTCTCGAAAATTTCATTTAAGAAATTTGACTATTTATTTCTTTATTTAAGCATCAAATGATTTTTATCTGACCATAAAGCCCGAGTCAAATTTCAACAAACAATAAAGTAAAATGTGCATTTCTCGTAGAGTTTGAGATTTTTTAGCGTTTTAATTTCAATCCCACTTTGCTTGGATGTTATTTCTCTTTTTTTATTAAGCAAACATTCTGAGAAAATTCAATATTTTAACTTCTCCTCTAAATTGATGCCATTGTTTGTCTATGCACAGCGTAACAAAATGCTTTTCGAGGAAATTTATACGACATTAAAGCTGACACTAGATATACGATACAAACATAATTTCTAATGTATTTGCTTAAGCATGTCATCGCTTGTATTTATTGAAAAAAAATATTATAAAAGAAGCATTAACCATTGTGTTCAATTGATCACGATTTATTTTTATGAAGCATGGTTGATAATAATTTATTGTAATTAATTACATTGACAGCATTTGGATGACTTTTCGTACGGAATTTTAATGATTTTTATTCCCCTGCTTTCAACTTATTTGCTTTATTGAATTAGGTCAAGCTCCATTAAGCCATCGTCATTGTACTAATTTATCCGTTTAGTAAAGAATACACAAAAAAAATTCGTTTGCAGATCGTCGAATTTCCGGCACACAAAGTGTACACAGACAAAAATGTGTTTAACTTTCGTTATTTCAGCAAACGAGCGGCAAACAGACAAATTCGTGAAAAATGAGAAAGCAAATATTATTAATAAAATTAGAATCGTGTGAACGAGCATGAATGAGTGATTCATGCTCAAACTTGAAAAATATTCATATCCTTCGATGTGTCTCATGTTTTCTGATCTTGAAAACTTAGTTTAAAGTCAGTCGGATGAGAGTAATATTAGCCAATTGAGAGAGATCATTCCGACACACATGTGCACGGTAAATAAATAAATAAACAGCTTTTTAGATTTACATCGATAGGAAACCCACATAATTAAGACATTCTGCTAAAAATATAATTGGGTGCTAAAAAAATTATCTGATTTTAGATGGGATTGATCGCCAATGATGTATGTAATTTACATATGATTTTCTGATGTCTAAGTTTAAACAGATTCTTGAGATATTTAAAGAAAACTTGATCTCGATTGTTTTATTCCTATTGTGACTCCCTCATCACACATTTTAATGCCTTGGGATAGTCAATAAAATTACAAAAGACATCATTAATGGACGATCCCCAAATACGATAAATAGATTTCATGATACACATGTGCAGACGTAAAAGAATTCTGAATCAGTGCAACGACTAATAAATTACGCAAAAACGCCATGTGTGCCTACCACAATATCTCTTATGCACGCTTCCTTTGTGTAATACATAAACATCGTAATGTTGCTTCACATTTCCCGAAATATTTTTACTTTTTTTCTATTTTTACAAGAAATAAATTTTAAAATTTTTAATAAAAAAGCCAAAAAAATCTCTAGAATTTCTAATAAATACCTACATCTTCTACTTCTTGAACAGCCAAAATAAATGTAGAAGAAAAAGAGTAACAGAGAGATCAAACAGCATGTAGGCGTTCCTTAAATCGCATTTTAAAGTTTTGTTTTTCTACATCACGAATTCCACGATTACATTATTGAAATCATGAATGAATGAGTAAATGGATGAAGTCATAGCATCGTGTGATTGAGAAGTAAGCAAAATGTTTCTTTAATCTTAAGTATTAAGACAACACGAGATGATTACATAATGAATATTAATAACAGAGAATCTGATTTTTTAATTAAGCTACTGTTCAAACTAGTTTCTACGACGAATGACTGCGTAATAGAGCTTTACTTGGAAATAGAGACATTTTTTTTCTGCAGAGACATGCTGTTTTGCGTTCATTTCATCATTGTAAACTGATTTATAGCTTGATCTTTAGTAATGTTTACGAAGTTTGGAATTCAAATGAAACTCTTGTCGGGTTAGATCAGTGGAGATTTCTGTGAATTTTTGTATCCATCACTTTGATTTTCTTCTTAATAAAAACTGGTTCTAGTAGTTCTGCGAAATAGGTAGCAAGACATTTTCAAACTAGATTGTTAGATCTGTCATCAATGATTCATTTTAGATGAAATAATCTCAATGTTTATTTGACTTGCTTGCACTTTCAAGTTACATAGAATTCAAAAAACAACGATGACGTTGAAATCGGTAAGCAACTATCAAACGGGTAAGCAATTATCAAAAGGGTGATCAACTAATTCAAGATTCTTTTGAATAGATTTTGAAAAGAAATTGCAATTTAAATTCAATTCATTTCAAACCAAAAAAAAAACCTTAGCATTAAGTAATTCAATTTCATCCATAATGCATCAAAAAATCATCAACAATTGCCAGATTTTCTCTCAAAAATTTCCATTCCGCAACACTTTTTTGTCTGATCTCTTTTGTGCACTGAAATTCGATTCTGAATACACGAGCATGTGTGATTAATTTATTTCCATTCTATTATTGTTTTATAGCATTTTTTAATCATTGAAAAGCATCATTGTACTTAATTTCAAATGCTGCTTTTGAGTATCGACTTTCAGGCTTTCCTTTCATCATTCCGTTTATTTTGAAATTCACAATAATGCACACAATAAAAATTTCAAATGAAAGGAGGAAGATGTATTTCAATTGCATTAAAAAATGAGCGTTGAAAGCAACAGAAACCTGCATCCAGTTGCGGCGTTCAACAAGTGAATAATAATAATAATTTTTATCTTTTTTGTTGTTGATGAGAAATCATTTTCTTTTGTGTGTCTGTTTCACATCTACAGAACTGTTGCTCTTTTAATGATTAGACGAATTTGTAGGTGTAGATCGCTGAGTAATTTATCAGGGGTGAGTTTTGTGGAGAACAGCTTCCATTCTTGGATTTTTGATGTTAAATATATGCAAAACTTTAATTTTCTTGAGTATTGATCTTAAGGACTGAATTCAAATAAAGTCAGATCATATTAGGTGGTATAGCATAGGGGAAGCCAAGGTCTAACCCTCATATCGCAAGAGTAAGGAAAAAATCTTTGACGTTTTGATCAGTTTTGTACCCTTGACTTCCCATAATCAAGATTAGAATTTATAAGTTCTACTTACTAAGTTATCGTAAATAGCTTGACAACAATCTTAATCAGCTCACTCTTACCCCATCCCGTATTCAAATTTTTTCTAGATCCACCCATGTAACTTACATACAATTGAATAATTGCACATCCCATATTTATTTTCAAAATATTTTTTTAAAATTAGTTTCGGATTTTTTTGATGTCAAGGTTAATCGCCTATTGCCTTTAGAGAAAAAAATAAATAAACAGTTTGTAGAGAAAATTTACTTAAAGACACATACATCTACAGTTGCTGCTCTCAATTGTTCATACAATAAATTAATACATGTTGTGAATGTCGCACATTTGTTTGTTATAAACTTAAAGTAGCACAAATGACACCTCAAAATGATTAACCTCTCCGTCCCGGCACACATGTTAATAGGAAAATTGAAGATACTGTCAATATGATGCAATATTTTTTGTATCTTTTTTGACATTCATCTTGTCTCGTCTTTCTTATTGCCACAGTATGGATTTTTTTTGCACATTCTAAAAACTTCTGATTTATTCTGAAACCAGTTTTTTTGTTATTTTCATTTTCATTATTTATTCATCACGAACGATCTCTTTTTTGATGAACGGAAAACATTGCCTTAAACGTTAGTACTGAACGGAGGTCCTTGGTCTTAATTAATCTGTTTTATGTCAAAATATTAGGTTTGGTTTTAAATTTTCGTTTCAAAAAAGATTTTAAAATTTCTAGTACAGGAAATTTAAAAGAAAAAAATTCAAACCGAGGACCCCCACATGCAATGAAGATCGCAATTCATGCGCGAAATAATCCAGAAATTCCAGAACTTTTCATCTCAATAGATTTTTCAACCTTCATAATTCTTTAATTTTTTTTTCAATTTCCATACGATTATTTTTAGCATTTTGCGTCATTATTAATTTTTGTTTCTCCTTTGGCATCGCACACAATATCTCAAATTCATTCCGTACTTCTTTTTCTTTTTTCTCTCGCGAGGTTTTAAAAAAGAAAGAAATTTTTTTCTTCTCTTCATTAAAAACATCTTTTTTAAACAAAATTTATGATTCATGACTCAACGTTCAAGAGCTAGCTTATAAGATGTAAGCAAGGTCGAATTATAGTTTCAAGTGTACGAAATCCTTGCTTAGTTCAAGCATATTCATTCGTTTTTATCTCTAATTTCTCGCGCTGATCTTCGATCTTTCTTGGGCTTCTGCTGTCAATATAAATAATATTTTTTTTTATGCCTTAACCGCTCTTCAAATTATTGGCAGTATTAAAAAAGAAAAGCCACAATGAAGAGAAGGAATCTCGAGTATCAAGTATCAAGTCACTCAGTCTTTTATTACAATGAACTCTTCTGTTCAACATAAATGATTTTACAATTCTATTTTGTTTCTTTTTAACGAACTTACTGAAAGAGGCAGCTTAACAATACAGTAAGTCTAACTACGACTAGAAGAGTAAGTCTTGCTACGAAACAGTTTGTTCAGATTAAAGAGATGAATTTTAAAAAAACCCGTTAAAAATTTGAATTTCAAAATTTTTCAAACAAGCACAAATTTTAAAAAATCGTTATAAATTTAACTTTAAAAAAAACAGTTTAAAATGTCAAATAATGAATTTTTATGCGCCTAAATCACTTCATCAATAATATAATGAATTTGAAATTATTTTCAACCATAAGAGCTAACCACAAGAGAAGAAACTTGCTTTCCTTATTTGGCTTTTTAAATCCATAAATTTCTTCAGTCACTCAATGTGAACTCATTTTTTCCAATTCCATTCCGTGATTTTTAGCTCATTTTGAAATGTTATGACTTCTAGCTTTGCCTGCTTGTCGCCTATTTATCTTAAGATTGTCAAGTGTTTCTGATTAGTCACCATTTATCGATTAATCAGAGCTGATTTCCGTAAAAAAAAAACAATTCTTTGTGAAAACATATTCATTAAATTCGCTATAAAAAGAAGGTTCAAGTCATAATAAAAATATTTATGACATCAGATGTGCGGGAGATTAAGGATGAATCAAAAAAGAATATTGCTGAATAATGCAAGACAATTAAATTTTTAAACTTTAATGTTTATTTGTTGACTTTAAAATTGGTATGGGTATTAACGTAGCTAGAAGGGGGAAGGCTCTGGTTGCTCAAGATTAAAAAATGTCAATCACCAGTTAAATGCGCTCTAAAAGCAATTTAAACGACCTCAATCAACTCATCAAGTCCATCCCATATTGACATTTTGGTCAACAGCAACTATTTTTAAAGGAAATGAAAAGTTTCCTTTCTTATGTTATTGCGAATGGATGAGTGCAATAAACGAGCAGAAACCACGTAGATAATTTTTCATAGTCCATTTAACAAATCATCATTCCCAATTTGACTACAAATGAGTCTATAGAGTTGCACATCATCACTTTAAATTAGTATGTTAAGTCACTACTGCATGATTAAACTTTTATTTTCATCGGAACTAATAAAATTATCGACTCTGTCTTATTCATGCATTCGCATGCCTTAAATTAAGATTCTATTTCTACTAATCAGTGGCCATACATTTTAATTTAAAAGTCAACACTGTCAATTCTTTCTTTATCCATCACCATAAGTTTTTTTGCACCTCATGAATGAGCTCGTAGGTGGGCGCAAAGCACAACACGAAAAATATATTACATCACTGTATAGTGTTTTTTTTCTTCTATTTAAGTCGCTTTTTTGTTTATTCTATAGAAGAATGCAAAGTTTATAAACTACTTCCAAGTTTGAAGTCTTTGAAGTTGCTTGATGCTATTTTCGGGTTCTTGCGAATTTATTTTATTTTTTCTTTTCTTTAATTCACTTCAATTTAATCTTAATGTGACATTTTCACACCTCAGAACCGTGATTGACCTTTACAAAGAGGGAACGAGCGATATTCGTTGCATTAACGAGTTAATTTATGAGTTGTAAAAAAGATAAGATTAGATGCGCATAAGGTAAACGGTCGCGAAAATATAAACTTACTCTACGAACACAAAAAAATGCTAAGCGTGCACAGTTTAATGGTTGATTTGAAACTGAAACGACTGTATGAGAGCGACAATATTGAACAATAATTTTTGTGATAAATTCACCACGAACATGCTGACCGTTTATTTGGTGAATATAAGTTTAAATTTCCAACATTTGAGTAGTTTTGGTCCCTTCGTGTTGATTAAAAAGCCGACAATTTCGCTTAATTTTGTAATTTAATTAATTAAACTAGAAAAACTTAACTTAGACAATTAAAAATGGTTGAGAACGTTATTCATGAGCTTACTGCAGAAGAAGCTGAATTATATGATCGTCAGATTCGCTTGTGGGGCTTGGAAAATCAGAAAAAGTAAGATCCGGAAAATCATTTTAAAAAATCATGAAATAAAAACATTAATTTAACTACAGATTGAGAAATTCGAAGATATTGATTGCTGGATTAAATGGTTTAGGAGCAGAAATAGCTAAGAATATCATCTTGGCAGGTTTAAAGTCCGTAACATTCTTAGATTCTGCAAAAGTTTCCAAACTGGATTTTGCATCACAATTCTTCATTCCAACAACAGAAGAAGGAAAGAACCGTGCTGAAGCATGCTTATTAAGAGCACAAGCATTAAATCCAATGGTCGAATTAACAGCAGATACAGGAGATTTAAAGGATAAAGATGAAGAATTCTTCAAAAAGTTTAATGTTGTAGTTATTACTGAAGCCAGCATAGCTGAACAGACTCGTATTGATAATATCTGTCGTGAACATAACATCAAGTTCTTTGCAGCTGATATGTGGGGAATGTTTGGATTCAGTTTTGCTGACTTACAAGAGCACGAATTTGCAGAGTAAGTTAATTAACTGATCAATTTTGAAACTAGCTTAACTTTTTGTTCTCAATTTCTAGGGATATAATCAAGCATAAAGTAATCTCAAAGCCTCATGAGAAAGTTAAGACAGAACCAGTCACTCATACAACTAAACGCTCACTGAAATTTCCATCATTGGAATCGACATTAAGCTTTGACTTCAAGTCTCAATATTTTACAAAGCGAATGAAGAAAACAGGACCTGCTTATATAGTCATGAAGATCTTACAAAAGTTCCGTGAAGACGAAAATCGTGATCCATTGCCTGCTCATCGAGATGAAGATATTAAGAAATTATTGGCTATAAGAGATTCCATGTCAGACGCAAATCTGATTCCTGACATTTACTTTGAGCATGTATTTGGACAAATTTCACCAAGTTCTGCAATTCTTGGCGGTTCCGTTGCACAGGAAGTAATTAAGACAGTCTCACAAAAGGATGCACCTCATTACAATTATTTCTTCTTTGATCCACAAACTGCCTGCGGATTCATTGAAAGAATTGATACTGCTTATTAAAAATGTTAATTTATTAAGATTCCTTAAAAAGTAAAACTTATCATTTAATTTCTTCATTTTCGTAAATCTTCTGAGTTTATATTGTATTTAGATTTCATCTTCTCAAGCTCTTCTGCTTTAGCATTCAAGTCTTGCTGTTTAAATGCCTTTGATGCTTGATAATACAGCACAATCAGATATCGATTACAAACGTTGAATCCAGAAAGATGATCACAGGCGTTCTTAGCATCCCCTATTGAAATTAACGTGTTACTAATAAGTTAATAAATATAATATCATTACTTACAGATATCCTCATAGACCACAAAAGCGGTTCCTTTAGTTTCTGGAGTATTACCGACTCGTATTTGTCTAATTGCTCCATACTTTCCAAAAATATCGTACATTTCATCGCTCGTTATTTTATACGGAAGGTTTCTGACATAAAGTATTCTGTTGACTTCTGGAGGAAGCCTCACCTATGGAATTAGAAGGAGAAATGTGAATTAATTAAATTCTTTATAGTGCAAAAATAAATATTGTTAATTTCTATGCTTTACTTACATTATTTCTCTTTTGCATAGCTAAAGCCATTTTGTAGGTATTTGATAGATCCTGTTTTGACTATTTAAAAGGTTATATGTGCTTTAGAATAGCTGCAATTAATTAATTTGAGAAATAGTCGCGATCTTGTTTATTATTTTTTTGAAAAGAGGGATTAAAACTATGACTGCTGTAAGTTCAAATTATTTTTGACAGTTTTTCACATTTTTTTGTAACGGATTGCAAATATTCAAATTGTTTTTGTAAAAAAAGAAACAATAAACAGCAGAAAATGCTAAACTAAGCACTAAATCGTGAATAAATCGTTAATTAAGTTAACTGTATATCTGTTTATAATGAAAGAATGTTGTAGTAATCAGGAAGAGACATTCGGTGAAATATTTGTTATAGTTATTGAAAATTACAAGGTGTTCTTTGCCATTTTTGTGATTTCTATTGTTCTCGTTATCATTTACAAATACTTTATCGCTAAAAGTAGTCTAATTAAGGAAGATTAAATACATATTAATGTGAGTACAACTTCATTTTATTACACATAAATGCTTGAAACAAATACTTTTGTAAATCATTTCGTAAATTGAACGTTTTGCCAACAATAAAAATCCTTATCTGTATCTCCATGCTGCAAAGTAACAACGTAACTGGAACTTAAAAGTCAATGCTCTGCTTGTGGATCTTCTTTCATCCTTGTTTTCCTACTTAAATTTGTACAATTTATACTATTGTTTCTTAAACAAGTTCAATTGAATGACTATAAATAAGATACAAGATACAGTTAAACAAAAAAGAAGCATCGTCATTGAGTGCCATGACAGGTTAACTGCTTAACAATCGTCATCAAATGAATTGTTTTTAGTCAATAAAAATATCTTGAAAATCATTAGCTTTGGGTAGAAAGAAGCTTCTCTGTTTCATGTCAATAGAACTTTCAGTGTCGGATGTGTAATAAGGCACACGCTTCATAGCCTCTTTCATAATAAAATTCTGTTCATCTACTAAGCAGATCCTACCGAAGCGATCAGTTTTAATTGGCAATAAATTCGAGCATAAATTTTCCCTATTTTGCAACTTGTTGCATCGTCTTGAGAGCAATGGACTTTTGACTAACGGACAATCCTTATAAGTGCATGAATCATCATTCTTTTCGCTCTCGCTTGCTGCTTTCTTAAGATATCTCTTCTTACGACTCTTTCCATAGAACGGGTCACGTTCACTTGCTTTAAGGTATTTTATCGGTGGATTCCTAACTCCCCATTTGGGTCTATCCTCATTCTTCTTATCTTTTGGCTTCATGACGTCATTATGGACATTATTGCTGTTCATATTATTACCATTGGCAGTATTATTATTATTATTATTGTTGTCAACTGTCAAGTGTGAACATCTTTGGTGTGTAAGAATATTGTGATACTGATGTGAACAAAATTCACAGAATAAAAATGACTCGGTTTGAGTTGCGACTGTTTTTGAGGCTTCATTTGTGGTTGCTGGTAGTGTGACTCGATACTTTTGTGGTGTTAATATTTTAATTTCATTCTCCTTCATCGAATAACAGTTATTTTCATTAATCGTTGATGTGCATGCGTCATGACATGAAAATGATGATTCTTCCTTCGTGAATGTGCCGTCATGCGGTATAGACGGAGTTGAACAAAGTTGAATTGGTGGTGAATTTGGTATTGATGTTTTGAAATTTTCATGAGCGACCTGTTGAGCACTGCCAGTCAATGACTCATTATTTTGTATCTCTTGTGACTTTGAATTCTCATATGAAGGATTGTTGTTATTCACATCTGGCGTTGGTGGAATGGAAGTTATTTTATTATCATTCAGAATGACCTGCTTTGTGTTATCGACTTGTTGAATTTGTAGCGTAATTGTTGACTGATTATTATTTTGTGGAATAATGAATTGGCTCAAATCCAACTTCTCATTTGACGATGGTGTTGAAATATCTCGAGAAATGAGTGGAAGCATGACATTAGGACTACCTAAACGATTTTGTGTGGCCATTAAGAAAGCTAAATTGTTTAGTTGATTGAAGCCAAACATTTCATTAGTGAGCGGAACAAATGGTACTAATGGCATTGTCTGTAAAACAATAGCAATTCCTTCTAAATCAGAAATCGATTTGGCTTGAGACTTTGTTGTGTTCTTCTCGTTATTTACACTTTCAGTTGACTTGATTGTTTTCGGTGTAGACATTTCTTCATCACTCGTCTTGACATCATTGTCTGCATTTTGTTGGCGCTTATTAAACTTTCTTCTAAATGTCTCCAAGTTCTTTTTCTTCAACTTTATTGGAGTTCCAATCAATATCGTTTCGCCATCATCTTCATCCTCGTCATATTCATCATTATTATTATTATCTGATTGGTCATTGCTTGTGCTCTTTGATGGTGTTGATTCTTCGGCTTTAAGATTATTAGAAGAATCGTCCTTAACTGGGACTTCCTTAGTCACATCAACAGTCAATGGCTTTTGAAATCCTTCAATACAAATTTCTGTTCTTTCACCTATTTTCTGTATGCTGATAGTTTCGTCTAACGAACTTTGTAGGGCAAGAGCTTTCTCCCTTCTCTTTCTTTCTCTTTCCATTTGTGCCTCGAGTGCTGCTTTCTCAAGTGCCTTTTTCATTGTTTCTTCCTTCTTTCGTTCATTCTCTAATTTCTCATTTTGAAATTTTTGTTCTTTTTCCAAACGCTGTTTCTCAATGTCCATTTGTCTTGATAGCCTTTCCTCTTCTAATTTCTCTTGTTGCCACTGCCTTTCTCTTTCCAATCTCTTTATTTTCTCACGTTCTTCTAATTGTTCTTTTATAGCTTGTTGCAGCTCCATAGCCTTGCGACGCTTTGACTCTCGTTCAGCCAGAATGTAAGCATCAACCGGAGCATTTTGACCACGCAAAAATGATGAAACTGAATGAACACTAATTGACATTGTTTCCTCTTCACTATCACGTGCCTCACTTAAACTCTTCTCTAACCATACCGGACCATTCGTATTTCTGGAGCTTCGTCCATTATTATCCTTTGCAAATGAATCAAAGAGATATGAACCCCATTTGGCCCTGCCTTCACGTGATTTCTGATAATTTAATGACGAATCGATTGTTGATGAATTTGCGTACGAAGACACAGAAAATATATCTTGACTTGTTACCGATGATTCCGATGATGGTGTTCCGATTGGTCTGAAAAAATGTTTATCATAAGTATTTAAATGTATTAAAGAAAGTCGTTCGATAATGATGGCAACAATTAGAATTGAAGAAAAAAAATTATAACCCCTTCCCTAACCCTACCCCACTTCTATCTCCCTTTAAATGTTGTTGAACATCATAAGCTATCAACCCCAACAAATTTTTGATTAATTTTACCCGCAAACAAAAATAATTCCGAAAAATCAATCAAATTTAACCCAATTACTATAACATAAAATATAAATAAAGAATATTAAATTGTTTCTCTATGCAAAAATAAATAGACATAAAATCTATAAAAAAAAATATGAACGAGTTTTTTTTCGTATTTACATAAAGCTTTATAAAGTATAGAAACAGGGTTTTTAGAGCAAATCGTTCACACTCACTTTTGTACGACATCAAATTCCACATCACGCTCATTATTTGATGAGGAAGGATACTCGTTTAGTGACGATGATGTCATAGAATATTGTTTTGGATGTCCCGTATTCTGTGAGTTATTACCAACTGTATCAAAGTGCGTTTCACCATAATTAAATTCATATTGATTTTGTGCGCTTAGCGTGAGAGCATTTGGTGGCAAAGAAGATCCACCGCTTCCACTCAAATAGCCTGATGATTGATCGGAATTGTTACTGCCTTGACTATGAAATAAAAAGAACAGAAATTAGAAGTTAGAGGGCAACTTTTGCATTAAGGTTTTGTGACTTATTATTAGAAAATATTTATGGAAATTTTTCTGAAGTAAAATTGAAGGACTAAGAAAATAAAAGAACTTCCTGCCAAAAGGAATAATTTTGGTGACATAAAACATTTTCTAAGGTCACAGTGTTGTAGCAAATCCTTGATATTCTAATTCTTTTTATAGTTCACAACCCAATGAACGATTTATTTAAGAATCCCTGCATTGGTGAAAATCACGCGAACATAAATCGAAGAAAGAATTGCTTTTTCTTCAAGTCTCGCGAAAGTCTAGCTTCTTAATATTGAAAAACACTTTCCGTTGCTCTAGTTCAGGGACGTATCTGTGTGGAGGGTATATTTAATAGATTTACTGCATGAATAAACTCTCTAGTCAGTGAAAAAGATCATAATGTTTTTGGAGAGTTTCATAAATCTTCATAGTATTCCTAAATGCCCACAGACCTCCTTCTAGTGTATTTGATTATACTTGAGAAACTCTGAATGTCACTTAGATTAATAACACTAATGTGGACCACGAAAAAGCCCGATATCGCATGAAATGAGCTTCAAGCAGTTCAACTTAGCTTGTGCTAGAATTTTAACTCTGGTCCTGGACACCACAACCCTTTTTAAGTTGACAGTCACTTATGAACAGGTCAAACTGACCCTGAATCCATTAACCCCACTTTATACTACTCCCTAGTTCCAATTCTACTTACCGTGTCATTCCCTTATCATAACGATCAATTGGTGGAAGACTGGGACTTCTTATTCGTCGCATGTTAAAATTATTTTTCTGATGAAAATTATTATTTTGATGAACTATTTCTGTATTTGTGATAAGTTGCGTGCTGTATGATATTCAGAAATGGAAAAATGGAGAGAGAAATGAAAATTTGCATAAAAATTAAACCATATCTTTTGCATAGAACGAAGGAACTTTTTAGTGCTGGTAAAAGTGATTTTTGTGTCAATACCGTATCGTATTCCGTTCATATTTCGACGCCAATTTCGAGTGATATTGTTCTAGCTTTGCCATTTCCTCTGTAAATGAAAAACTTTTATTAATGACATGTTTTGCTCGAAACTAGACTAATGTACAGATTAATTATTTATGCCTATGTCTACGACATAATAAAATAAAAAAAATATCCACATACTGCAATTCCTCATACCTCGTTCTTTTGCCCACTGTATCTTCTTTTGTTCCACAAGCGAAAGTTCACGATTAATGCTATCTTTATGATCTTTAATGATCATCTTTATTAGATACGCCTTAAAAAATTAATTTATCAAGCTGTCAATATTTTTTCCTATGCTTTAATTCAATAAAGGAAAGAAAAATATCTATCAATTGAGGTTCCTTCAATCCGTTTCGATTAACAGAAAACAGTCGTTGGACACACGTTTAAGGATCAAAATACAAAGCACGACTGAACGAAATGAACTATTTGAATATGGAAAAATGAGGCTTTTCCAACATATATTAGATCAATAACCTGTCGTCGCTATGGTAACCTTCATATTTAAACATGGAAAATTCTCACAGGAAAATTCCAAGTTTGTGTGACATTACTTAACACAGTCCATGCTTTAGTTACTTTACTCCACATACTTCATTCATAAAGGAAATGTTGATTCCATTTGATATCCTTTTAATGACTCATGTATGAAAGGAAAATGGAAAACAATAAGAAAATGTAGAGCATTAAATCGTGGTTCATTGTACTGGATGGAATAAAATCTAGGATACTTTAGCTTTGATGATATTTTACATAGTAGTGAATTGAGATCCTTAAATTTACGTTCTAAATATTTTGTGGGTAAATTGGTTGTGAGGTTAATTTCATGCTGTATAGTGATACAAAGAACGAAGTCGGAAGGAAATGTTTATGCATACAGTGTGCACAGGAATATTGTTTAGTCGTTCTGAAAAATATGTAGGACATGCTATTAATAACACAATAAATGATAAACAATCACATGGCAACAGTAAAGTAACGAAGCTATCTATTGGAATTTATAGACAATTTTCATGTTGTGAATGCAACAATAGGAATTTACGTGATTTTGAAATTATGTTGAGGCATTTAATGGCCAAGTTTCTATTGATTTCTCTTGATATATTTGGAGATATGCATGAATTAGAAATTGATGCAATGATGTTGATATGGACATATTTGGTTTAATATTTTAGGCGGTTTTTATGCTTGATTCGATTGTGACATTTTGAGTTTTAATTTACATTTGCTGGCCGTTAAAGACCTTCTTTCTTATCTTAGCCCTTTGTCATTAAATTGACACGGATGTAAATATTTTAACTGGTATTGATATTGAGAGATCTGAGCTTTTTGAATTGTCTCCAGTTTAACCAAGATGAATCTATAGGCAAATAGCTTGAGTGGCGAGATTAAAAAGATAAATATACTCATCTCGAATAGACAATCTTAAATTTATTAGGATTTTTTATTTTGATCCGAGCCTTCACTTCTAATTTTTGATTAAAAAATCTTAAAACTCATAAAAAGTCAACTTTAAAAAATGATAAAAATTCAATTGATGGCAAAACTGTTTACATTTACGAAAAAAAATTAAAAGAATCTCAAAAATGCGGAACTAGTATTAATTTACAATCCAAAAATACCACACATCCATTTAAAGTTTCATTTATAATTATCCATTTAATATAAATCACCTGCTAATGCATTTTATCTTTCAGGCTAATCAGCATTAATTATATCTCGCTTTAGTTGCAATAACTATGCTATATACTGTGATACATAATTTAGTCAAATTATCATTATTGGAATTGCAAGACCGTATACGTTTATGTAAGTACTTATTTCTTGTATGTACACGTTTTGTCTGTTTCAGTGTCTTCTAAACTTTTAATGACTCTGGCACACTTTTTGATTAAAATTTGGGTTGACAATAAATGGATCTGGTTTCACTGTAAACTAAAATTGGTTGAACCTTACTTATTAGGGGTTACAGTTTAGAAATGAGGATTTCATTTATCTAAGAACCATTCACGTTTCAGACAAACCTCTAAATAAAGATTCACGACCTTCTCCAAGGAGAGAATTTGCAACAAAACCTGAAATTTTTCACGGCTTACAAGTGTGCCACAGCACACAGTTTATTATAAACAGCTCTATTTGCTTTTCAATATTTGCAAAGCTCCGTCGCTTAATAAAAATAAAATCCGTCTCTCATTTTTTTGTTGAAAGCTATTGTAAAATTATTAAGCTGCATGGAACTTGTTAAACATGTGTAATAAGTATTTGCGCGACAGCAAATATTTTTTTTCGCCTCGCCTCTATTTACTTAAAAATATAAAAACTTTAAAGAACGCGTGACATTTTTGCACATAATCATATTCTTGCGATAAGTTAAACACTAAGCGAATTTTTTTACATCAATTAATAAAACATACAAACATGAGAGTTCAATAACTATAATAGTAGACTCAACTAGTATCTAGGTCAGTCAGCAATTTATAGATAATAAAGCACGCGCTCGTCCTCTATTAAATGTTATTCAATATACATACATTTTCCAGTTCATTCAACTTCTTTCATCACTATTATTATTGTTATTACTGCTGCTGCTGCTTTCCTATTAATTTTGCATTGCAATGCATGATTGAGTAATCAACTGCATTTTAAAGTGAAAGAAGAAATGGACAAAGTAAAGTAAAGAAAAAGGGAAGGAAAGAAACAGAGAAAAATGAGTCAGTCTAAAAGACGTTACGATCAATAATGGAATTTCCTTTTTATTTTGAGATGTGAACGACCTGTTGATTATATCAGCATCACAATATTTTTTTTTGTGTACCCCCGCTACTCATTTGGAACAATTTGAGATGAATGAAGTTTTTTATGTGGAACTTAAAACTTGTAGAACATTTCATTGATTGCGATGTCAACGACCTTCGAGTGTGCTGTTCGTTAGCAGGCAAAAGCAATTCTAGTGACCTTAATTTTTAAAAAAAAATCTTTGATCAATAATTTGCTTTTTTTTTGTGTTCAAGTCATAAAACTACCGCATAACTACACAATATTCTCGAAACAATCAGTGATTCTCAGGGTGAGATCAATGAACTTTTGTCCAAAAATGAATGAACTGTAAATTGCATTTAAATTGGAGATGATTTCGCGTTTTTTTATCTCTTTTTCTTTTGTTTCTTCTGTTCTCAGTCTGAACTGCATATTTAACTTGCAAATAAACAGAATTTCTCATTTTGACGCTTAGCCATTAATCATTCCGATCAGATGATTTGCAAAAAATATTCATGCATGTAATATAATTCTGCATAAGAACTGACTGTCGAGTTCGTGACGAAGGCAACTGTAAATATTTTGTTCAGACTTCTTTACGCTTAATCTCCTTCAAATGATGCAATGACAACACAATGACGATTGAATAATGGTCAGTAATTTTAATATATTCATTCTTGGCTGTAATGCAATTTAATATTTTGATTATTCTGGCTGTGAATTGCATGCCGATTAATAAAACAAAAAAAAACTAGTAAAGATAAGGTCGGTTGTGATCTATAAAAGCGCATTTGAATAGAGAACAAAATCAAATTTTAAAGATGACGATAGGGTTCTTTCCATAGCCACTCGTAACTTTAAATTCACTACTCATATTTTGTAAGAATACCAAAATCTAAATGCTAAGCGGCTGACTGACAAACTACGAATAACATCAGAATACTGAAAAATGCTGCAAAATATGTACGTAAAAATTATCGGATGTTATAATGGAAGGCAATAGTAATTCCACTATTTTTTGTGCCGTTTCGTTCAGACCTACCTTAAACAAAATTCAATTTTACAAATCACTTTCATTTTACATCTATCGGAAATAATTTATTACGTTTTATGTTCCTCGATTCCACTGCAAAGAAATATAATTGCCATCATCCTACATTATTGTCTAACATCTTTTCTAATACTCTTTAAAACTGCATCTATTAAACAGCCAAGAATACAATTCGTTTTGACACACAAATAGAAGAAGTGAAATTTTTCTCTCTTTTCATTTTCTATTTTATCTCATTTTAATACAACAATGTAGACGGCAATTTCATTTTCTGACTTTTTATTATCGTCAATTAATTCATTTTACTATAGTTGTCGGCGATTCATTTGACATTTTAGTTATTTTTATATATTTGTGCAAATCATGCTACTAAACTTACGCTCAATGATTATTTGTGGAATAATATTAGAGACTTTAAGCGTGCACGATCGTGTCATCTTGTCGCAGCTGTTCTAGTTTAAAATTGAAATCACATGACCTGTGTCGTATCGTCTTCATTTCTTTTAGAATAATTATTTTTGAATAGACCTAGAATTTTAAACTAGAAGATTATGAACTTTCGACTTAACTTAACCTAGTTTGACTTGTTCGGTATTGACATTGATCAAGATCTAGTTAAAATTGCTTTGTGGGACACTAACAGCTGATCTGGTTTGACCAAACACAAGGATTGTCAAAAGGCAATGTTTGAACTTGGTTTAAACCCAATTTTAATTAAGAACGTAGCTATTAAGCTGGGAAATTTGAAGGCAATTCCAACTTGGAAGAATCTGATCACATAATTTAAGATATACTGCTTTATTGGATCAAAAACTAAAGGTTCTCTTTATAATTTAATTTAACTTGTCTGTCGATGTTGTTGTTCGAAATAATTCATATTCTTTAAACTTTTATATTCACAATACATTTAATGTTGACCATTGATTATATCAAGAATATTGTTTTCACATTCTTTCTATCAATATTTCATACGTTTGTTCCTATATAGCTTCTGAAACTAGTTTTAAAAATTAAGCTAGCTTCTGACACTAGTTTTGGGGGTATTAGCTAGCCAACCTGTCAAAGCCTGGTTTCATATACAAATTGAATTTTGAGAGAATTATTTTTTCAAAATTTAAAACTTTCGCAACAGAAAAGTCATTTCAAAGTCATAAATTAACGCAGTTATTCAATACAATATCTCTTCCAGAGATTAAAAAAAATTAATTTTAGAATATGAATCTATAAAGCACACAGAATAGCTTAAAATCCATTCGAAATTCATGAGATTCATGATTTTCGGTGAGAAGCAAAGCTTCCAATGAATATGAAAGAGTTTTTAAAATTTTCTACACATGTTAAATTACTTGCAATTACTTCATGCCAATAAGGCATTGAAAGAAAGAAATAAGAAGAAGAATAATGTGTGGATGAATAATAATGAAATGGAGAATTAAGAAATAAGTCACGTACAATAGAAAAAGAAAAAATTCTCCACTTGCTACTTATTAATATATTTAACTAGATAGTGCTCAAGTCGATTGTAATTTAAATGGAGAAATTTGTTTTTTGCTTGTTTCTGCTTTAAATACTTCCTTTAACGCAATTTAAAGACGTGCAAATATAGTCGTTCTAATTCCATTACAAACATGCGAAACAATCGCCTTTGACGCCACAAAATTTGAATAACTTATGCCTTTGCGAACGTGATGTATCTGTTGCTTAAATCCTTTCATATCACTTTTATTAAAAGATGTGCTTTACATGAAAATAATTCAATCAATCATATTTAGTTATTTTATGCATGACAGAAATAACGTGATTTTTATATGAAATAATTGTGTGTACAAAGAAATCATAATGCACACAAAGTTGGGTCGATGCGGTTCTCTGTTTTTGCATAAACAATTTTATTATTACTCAAGGTTGAGTACATCGACATTGATCAGGTTCAAACCACACAACTATATCGTTTATCAATTTACTCTTGTTATTTTTTTGCGCATTTTCCAAACCTTAGTCTGCAATAGTTGTTATTTTCCATACTTTGTCAGTTGTTCTGACAGATTAAAGAATTTCTTTAGATGTGAAAGTTCAATCGACTCTATATTTCGAATACAAATCACTTTAACATCTTCAAATTATTCTAAACTAATCTGTTGTCTATAATTTTCAATCTGCAATACTAGACCTGTGATTCTATCTGGGAACAAATTTTACCTAATTACAGCTATATCACACACACACACACACACACACACACTTATCCCTGACATATGCCATTCAAGATCTTTACCTGAACCTAAATACACAATCGATTAAATTTTAATCAATTTCAGAAACTGCGCCTTAGTGACGCACAATTGTGAGGTTCCTTGCTAATCTATAGTTAAGTTATCGCACATTTCCACAGCCTCAAATCATTCAGCCTTTTAATTTATTGCGATTTCTGTTTAACGATGTGAAATTTCCACAAATACCGACAAATACTTAACATGATAAATTATTGGTGTCACCATATCTCTTAATTCACAGATGAAAGGATTATTGAGTGGATGTCAAAAGTGAGAGAGAAAGTGCTTTGCATAAATAAGCAATAGTGTCGATATCTAAAAAAGAATCACGTCATTAAATGCGGTATTATTAATTTTTTGACGTTTATCATCTCGATTTCGGTGCCACTGTTTAAATAATTTTCAGTTTCATGATGAAAAAAAATTTCTTTAATTTTTTTAAAGTATGGAAAAAAAAAACCTACGGGAAGTGAAGAGAAGCTAAAAAGTCAACTTTCTCTCATTCAACGTCATTTCATATATACAACGACTTGTGTAGTTTATTTAAATAAATGATCAAATAGATCAACAGCGTAAAATCTTTATTAAGATCTCATGCCACCAATGATAATATTGAAGAATTCCAAGTTGTGAGTTTGCCGGCATATCCAAGTCTACAAAGCATTTAGAGATTTGAAAGTGAATTTGTTATTCACGAGCATGACGAGAGTAGTCTTAAGACATTTTAGGTACGGTACTCAATGAGGTTGGTTTTGTTTCAAAGACAATGAATGGAAAAAGTTCCGTCAGATGGGGTCTAAACTCATTGTTTGTGTTACGTAATAAGTAAACATCCATAAAGGCTGCATGTAGATCTTCTATACATTCCAGCATTTTCTAAGCGAAGGCAAAAATTGAGTAATGACTTATTTGCAATTAATTCATTCGAAGAATCTATCTTTAGATGATGCAATGTGTAGATTGTCATCTTTAATGGCATCATGATGGCTTGATGAAAGTGACTCAAGATCGTTATGTGAAATTTACTTTCATTTATTCAGCTTGAATCTAAGTTTGGTCTTACGACTTTAGATCTGTTTAATGTTTGTGCATTCTTCAGTAAGATATTATACGATCTGCTGATACTTATTAACCTAGTCTGTCAAGTTCGACTCTGCCTAGTCATCCAAGACAAACGGTTGATCTAGAGCTCATTACTCAGCAAAGCAGTGAATTGAAAATAAAAGTAGTGAGTCGGAATATCGTATTAATTTACTACTCGAACGTTTCAGACCTCTATCGATTAACTCCTTTCCCCATTCGCACGTTTCTTGACCGCAATTCTATTGCTTTTTATGATTTTTTACTTTTATTTTTTAAAAAAAAATGTTACTGACCATTTCACTTATTTCATCATTGTTGCTCTCAGTTCAGTTCAGTTGTTTATTTTATATTCATTCAATATTCCGTTACTTTCGTTATCAATTGTAGTATGTATGCATAGGCTGAGACTCGATCGAGTTGTAAGTGCTAAAGCAAGTGAGACAAGATTAAAAGAAGGAAAGAAACTGAATGTATATGCATGTACATATTATAATGTATTGCAACGGCATTCAATGTGTTTAAATAATTGCATCGTATTGCATTGGAATGACCATTAAGTTAACAAAAGTCGACACACATATATTGAACTGCCCTTGGTCAATCTTACTGCAGTTGCCTTTAAGAAAAAATCATAAACATGCTGTTTTATTTTTTATTTCTTTAAAAAAAACTTGTTTTTCCTTTCAGCAATAAATCGAATAATCTCATGCAAGAGCATTAATATTTTATTATTTCTTTTTCTTCATTTTTTTTCTGTTTCGACTCCTTCTTCCATTTCTCTTCCACATACTTACATTTCTATAAATGTGAGTGATCAATGAATTTACTCACCTTGTCCTTATTTATATATTTCTCATCGTCGATGAGAGCCGATCATGTGACTCACACATCACGGATGATAATGTTGTAAATCAATTTTACATGCAATTTGATAGTTGTCGTTGCCATGCTATTTTACATAATTCTTGCATTTTCTGCTCGAAAATAAAGATAAATTCTTGAGAAAAACCGGTAAATTATTAGCGAAGAAAATTAATTGAACAGGTTGTATACAATGCGGCATTTGATATGAGAGAGCTTTTTTTTTCTCCTTCGGACCTGACTCTTCTGTCATACATAATCGTTCATATAAAAAATTTTATATTTTGTTTTTTTCTTCTTTCCCAACCCGTCGAAAGCCGAACGAATGTTCAATTTTTTTTATATGGGAACTAAAATTGCCTCAGTCTCTTTTCAGTCGTCGAGAAGAGAAGTTGTGTATTATAGGCGAGACGAGAAAAAAAAGAAGTGATTTTAAGTTTTTTTTTTGTATAATTTTTTTTTAAAAAAACTAAAAAATTTAACATTCCAAAAAAAAAATTCAGACATTCGGTACTTTTTGTAAACTTTTGCTCAAATTGTTTTGTGTACAAAATAAAAAAAAAAGTATCAAAACTTTTTTTGTGTGTCTAAAAACGAAAATATTGTGAAAAACAAAGCTAGTCGTGTAGAGTGCATAGAGCTGTGGATATATAGCAAAGAGAGAAGTGTAGAAAAACGTAATAAACAAGTGCTTTGTCCCAATTTTCTAATTTGAGAGAAGAAAAATTTCGATTTCATTTTCATCATCATCGCAAGACTGAATTTTTACTTTTCTTTCAAACGAGAGTGAAAACTGTGTCGATTAATGGAACTGAGAAGTGACATGAAAAGATTATTGCTTAATTATTGAATTCTAAAAAAAGAGAATCAAGTTTGTCTTCCGAAAGTCTATAAGTCGGATTTAAAAAAGGAAGCAAACGGTGGCATTAAGAAACAAGTTTCACGAATTTTAATATATTTTCGTAGACATCGTGCATCATCAATTAGAAACGAATATTTTTTATACATTTAGTGATATAGACTTTAAAAAGTAAGTTCTTGAGACATTTTTTATCTTTTATTAATTCTATAAAAACATTCACGAGCCGGTCTCGTCCTTCCAAAATATTATTTTTTTTTGTGTATCGATAGCAACCAGGCAAGAAAAACAAATAAATAACAAAAAGTCTCAGTCTTAAAATATATTTTTTAAGAATGCAAGCACTGCGAATGAGGTTCAATGAACTGAGTATTAAAAATTATTAAATCTGCAATATTTTATTACTAGCTTACAGTGACTTACAAGACGACACGCTTAGTGAAATTTATTCATAAAATAAAACTGTGAAATGAAGTAATCAGCAGTTTAAGGAATTACATTTAAAGAAAAAAATATTTCGAAATCAACCATTCAGACATAACGCAGATAGACAGTGAAAGAAATTTGTGGATGTCTGCGCTGCTTATCTTATCTAAATTACATTATTATTATTGATAACCTATTTGGTATCATGAACCTATGAAACATTTTCTCATCAGAGTTGGTTGCTGATTATTTGTGGCTGCCGGTATGTGTCTACTTCTGTCTGTGGCTTATTGATTGTTTATTTTTTGATTTTTTAACCTCAAAAGTTATTTGTTTTGGATTCTTTCGAATTGTTTGTTAATTTTTAAGAATGTTTGATTGATAATGTCAGTACCTGAAATAGATATGAATTACAATGTACGAATGTATCTTGATAAAACTCAAAAAAAGTGCTTACAAAAATTTCTAATTTTCATTGTTGCTCTCAAACAGACTTTCACTTATAGCGTCTATTAAATTTGGGTCTTAAAGCTGCTGTCACAGTTGGGAAAACCCAAATTTAAATCTGCAAACCGCCTTTATGCTCTCGAGATATTCCATGATGTTTGCAAGATTCTTAGAAAGTCTCATAATGATAAGGCTTTCCAAGAATATGTAAATTAAAACCAAAAGATTTTAAAGCCACAGACTTTAACTGATATTTTAACCACACTTAGTACTCGAGTTACTCAACAATTTTTAAAGCAATTTCCAATAAACATTGAAAAAAAGTCGATAATAGCCACGGTTTGTCAATCCATCATTTCTGCAACATGATTTAAAACTGCTTAGTGAAGATTATGCGCTACATACTGAGCTAGCGTACGTAATATAGATTTAAGAATAAAATTGTAGCGCTTAAATGTTTAGGAACACTGTTGCACAATTTAAGATGAATAAATTGAATTGAATTGAAAAAAAAACGTCTAAATTTAATTTAAGGATTATATTCCTTAACAGACAATGATCGTGCTCTGATCATGTGTACTTTTAAGACCATACTCTTTTGTAAGATAAATTCACGACTTGGATTCTTCGTTTAATAATAAATACTTTTCTGACTATGTCACTGCATCATGAAAAACTTTGTCCCGCATTACTGCAACACCACTGCATCAAACTGATAAAGAACTATGTCAAAAACGAAAAATAATGTGTAACAGCACAAAATTCACAGAAATGCTCAAACATTCAACTCTGTTAACATTCCAACACCAAACATTGTGTATAGCAAGCCAGCAGTTATATAAAGAATTATTAAATAATTTCATATGCTCAAAACTGCTTCGACTTAAGTTGTAAAAACAAAATATTAAATAGTTAATTTCTAGTTCTAAATCATATTCTACAAAATGGATAGACAGATAGATAGATGGATGGATAGATAGATATTAAACCTACATGGAAATGTATATACATATTTTCGACTATGTGTGTCCAAAACACTTGATCAAAGTGATCTTGAAAGAGTTCATTACCACTTCAAAATAGTTTTTGTACTTCTTTCGGGCCGAAAAGAAATAGCCGAATATACCACTACGACTTAGAACTCATGATGATTTAGAAGTTAATTTGCTATTTTTGTGTTTTGATAGTTTTAGTAAAAAAATTTCAAGGACGAAATAGTCACATATCAAGCAGCTTTTAAATGCGTCGTATGTTCTTGTAGTGGATAAAAATAAAAATAAAAATGTTAAGCATGTATAATATATTTAAATCTGCCCGCATGTAGTTTCACTTTTAATTTCTCAATTACATTCAGTAGCAATCGTGCTAATTTGCTGGCTCAGTACCTCCTTTGCAAATTAATTTTACTTAAAGCATTTAAAACTTTTCGAAATTAAAGACAATTAATAATGAAGAAAAATCTCCTGACACCTGATAAATACTTTTTTTATTCCTACTGTCACAATTGGATTTCTTAACAGTGTTGGTATTGTTTGTGCTTGATTGGGCTGTGACATTGCTTGGTTCCAGGAACGTACTAAGAATATCAAGTCCCGATCGAAATATCTTCGATCTAAAGACTAACCCAAGCAACTAAGAAACCAACGCTGAATCCATACTGAAGACATTAACAGAGTTATGGAACGATGAATAATACACAATTTTGAGGTCGCAACTTTCAATTTTTTTCGTAGTTGTAGCACAACCTAAAAATTTCACTTATTTGCTTGAACTTTTTTTTATATTTATATTTTTAAATCATTATAAATGATCTTTCTGCTTCATCATTACTACAATGTATATAATATAATTCATTTTGATTAGCATTTTAGTTTCTTTCTCACTTCTTTGCATAGATCAAAGTCTGTTAATTTTCATTTGTTTTGAATTTCAAATTTATGTCTTCTTCCGTTCTTTTTAAAGACCTTTCCTTCTTCTCATGCCCAGCCATATTGACTACCAAATTACGAAAAAACAAAAAATTGAAATAAATTGAATTGCATATGTGTAACAAAAATAAAAAAATGAAAAACGTCAATAAAAGTTGTCGTTTGGGACTCTTTGAATTAAGTGCTGGTTGATCGTGGTATTTCTGACTGTCCAAATGTTATTTATTGATAGAGTTGTGGATAATTTTGATTACTAGTGGCAATGGATGACAAAACAAAATAAACATTAAATTTTTCTAAACTCACTCCTCCAATTCCTTATTCCTCAAATTTAATACATTCTTTGTCCAGCTACCTAAAAAATTGATCATTTGAATATTAAAGTTAATGTTCTGTTTTAATTTGAAACCACCAGACTGTGATAACTTTTTCGCGCCTTTTTCAACTGATCCAGATTATCAAGTCTCTCAACACAGCTGCAAAATTATCTGATTTGTGTTTTGTCTCTGGAAAATGTTGATATTTAACACAATGTAGCCAGTACGTCTGTTTTTTGTATGTGACATCTGACAAACATTTTCAAAACCTCAAAAAACATCTTACCCTTTGTAATTGCTGATTTTCTGCTTAATTAGGTTTCAAAATTTGATATTTTCAATGTGGAATTTTCAAGACATAAACTGGCCTAAATGATGCATACTTATTAAGATATGCGCTTAAAACGCGGCAAACAATTTTAAACATTTTGTGCCGTATTAAGTTTTTAGTGTTATTAATGATGAAATTCAGTCAATAATTGATATAAATTTGTCTTTAAATGACATCTTTAAATGGAAAGCGGTTGTTCTTTTTTTGATGCTTCCTAAGTCCATAAACAAACCTGTCAATATCCATTTATCATTCTTCATTTAAATTGCACATTTATTTTGTCATATGCTTCATCTTAGTCAATGTGCAGTCAGTTGTGCTACAATGTTGGCGGAATTGATTCCTTGTGCAAACATTTTAAGAGTGAGATAGGCACTGTTCTGACAATCAGAAACATCATATGTCAAGAAGAAATTATATCACTCATGTGTGAATGTTGAGATAGGTCAAAAATTCATTTTTTTGTTCCTTCTCTTTTTTATGATTTATGATGGATATTACTGGTTTAAATTTGTTCGGGCAATTTTCTGTATATTTTTTGATTCGACTTGATAACAACAACTTGTTTATTACCGGCAAATGCTACACAAAAAAATGAGAAAGAGACTGAAAGTCGCGAATGGTTCAATTTTTGAAGTTCAAGCTCAAGGATGAATTTCAAACTTTTTATTATCAGTAAATTCAATTTCAAGACACACGTTCCTTTATCTCTCTGTTTTTTTTTCTTACCTCTTTCTTATTTAATCTGTGTTATTATGTGGTTGTAAGCAAAAAAAAAACTTTTGGAATTCACAATGAACAGAAAAATAAACTTGATAAGCGCTTTCGTGTAGAAGACTTCAAGGTCACATTACGAACGCAATTCCTACATTCTGTCATATACAATAATAATATTTTTTTGTGTGCAAAAATGTTGGTATAAAGTGAAATTTCTTTTTTTGTAAGTTTTCCGTATGTGTAATTGCTTCACTACACCTTTGAACCGTTATTGTTATATTATTTACAAAGTTTAACTTTTAACGGTTTCAAAAAATTTGAAAATTCGCGTTTTGGTCAATTTTTGAGTTGACATTCCACTATGGTGAATATTTTTTCATATTTTCACACCCTTTACTAAATTTTGAATTTTTGAAAAACGTTAAATTTGAATTTTTCAAAAATTATTACACAGGGTTAGATTTTTTCTACAATTAACACATATCCTAGAGGAAATACATTTAACTGTCTTTACTGATAATAAGTGACTGTAAAATAATTATCTTCAATGATTATCAAATAGCAAGATAGACTTAAAATCTATTAAATTCATTACAATATTCGTATTTTATAAGTAAAGCTGATAAGAAAGTATTTTAAAGCATTTGATGGCATTTGATGAGATAATTCGTGTTGCTAACTTTAATATTTCATCGCAAATAAAGCTATGCAAAAATGATCCAATTTTCAATAAACGTCTTTTTGCGAGATGATGAGGGATTTATTCATGAAATAAGAATTTAGTAAACACCAGAGATGAGCATTAAGTCACCGCAAAAACGAACCTAATTCCAAAAAAATAGCTTCAAATTTCATAAATAATTCAAATTAATGTAAATTTGTTGTGGCTATAAGTAGCTGAAAATAGGACAATTAATTCAGTTTGCCTCATAATAAAAAAGCACGGATGTTTTGCATGCAAATCAGTATATATGTAATCTCTGTTGACAAAAGGACAAAAATACAATTGAAAGCGAAAATTCTGGCTTTTTAAAAGTATTTTATTTGGAACGAAAGAGAGCTGGAAGATGAATTTTAAGTATTATATATGGGCTCGCCATTTATGTCAATTTATGCGATTTGGAATGAAATTAAATGTGGAGACGAAAAAAAAGAGGAATCACATGCAGAAAAAGAAATATTTCAAGTTCAAAATAATTTTCTTGTTCTTTCGATGACTGCAAGGCAAAATTGGTAAAGTTGAGACCAGCTTAAGCGCATTTTAACTGGATAAAAAAAGTCAGATATAAAATTGAACAATCGATAAAAATTCAAAATTGAAAAGAAACTCACCTCAAAAATAACTGCCAGTAATTTTTCAAATAATAACGGTCAAAAAATATTTGAAATCTTCTAGTACACAATTTTTAAAAATAAATTAACGATCGAAATGTAAAGTTTGTGGATTGATAGCCATCCAGCAGTTAAAATGCGCTAAAAATTGAGCAAAAAAATAAATATTCACAGCGTTTGACCACAGTAGTCTACAGTGCACTTCTCTCACATAATTTCTTATGTTTAAAGGCAATCATGCATAATAATTACTTGTCATAAAATATGCAATGCTTTTTATGCAATTTCTCCCTATAATGACGAAGGCGATCAAACTCTTATGTTTTTCGTATTTTTTCATTCCATAATTTTGCTCGTGAACTTGACATTGACTTTTTCTTATTGCTTTTGTGAACAACATATATTACGAAATGTGAAATTCAAGTCGCGACGAAATGCAATTTCAGTCGATTTTTTTTGGTGAATTTTTAAGAATATAATAACAATAAATCAAGCACGCTGCTTATTTTTTTTTTATTTGTATGTATAAGGCGAAGCAGCACGTTGCATCGTCGAGTTTTGATAAGAAGAAGGTCTTAAACGTAATTGAATTTGATATTCGAATTTTTGATATGAATTTATTTTTGTCGAGGTTTTTGTTTTTTGTAATATTTGTGGCAAAAATGTGTGTCTGAAGGACATTGTAAAGGTTTTGGTCGGGTTTTGTTGACTTAATCATGTTACTGATTAAGTAGTAAATTTAAGAGTTTGAAAAAAGCAGATTATGAGACCTTTAACGGCTTTTTACCTTTTAAATTGAAATCCAGTACAATTTTGAAAAATATTCTAGCGGTTTTTTGAAATTTGAACTTTGAATCTAGTGCAACTTTTGAATTTGAAGGAACCGCTAAATTTTGAATCTCAAATTGACAGTTACAATTGGAGCTACTTCAAAATAATGACTTGAAACCGAAAACAATTGTTATGAGTCTCTCTGTGCCTTACTTACATATTTTTAAATAGTTTTGCATCAGAAATTTGAGTTTTAAAAAAAGAAATATAAATGCAAAATGCGCAGCTGTATTATCTGTTATTTATTTAAATATATTTTGGATATGAATTTAAATTAATAATTCTTTCCGTTTTTTCGTTCTTCTTTATTTCCAGATAACAAAATATATATTTAGAATAAGAGTTGGAACATTGTAGAATGCTAATAGATATGAATGAAACAAATGAGACAGACAATTTCAGTGATGGTCGAGATCTTCCACTTATAAATGTTAAGGATGTCCCTCAAAAATCTGTGATAGCTTTTAATCAAAATAGTAATGTAGATAATAATAATAGCATTAATAGTAGTTACGATTATACTATGGATATGAAAACAAATGGAAATAATAAAAATACCGAGGAGGATCCGCTGACTGGTCAGCGAGATTTCATCTTAAACCTTCAAAATGAACCCGATCCAAATTTAAGATGGAGAAATAAATTTGCATCAACAAATTTCTTTATGGTCGTGTTTCTGCTTGCGTATATCCTACAAGGCTGCTACTTTACGTACTTTGTCAGCGTGATAACAACAATTGAGAAATTATTTCAAGTAAAATCAGCCATAATTGCGCTTCTGCTTAACTTTAGTGAAGTTGGACAAATTGCGACGTCACTATTCTTGACTTATTTTGCTGGACGTGGACATAGGCCTCGATGGATTGCATGCGGAATGCTCTTATTTTCAATTGCAGCATTTGGATCAGTTTTGCCACATTTCATATTTGGCGATCGTTTATATCATCAAAATGAAGTAAGCCTTAATGTAGAGACAGCCACAAAACCCACGTGGGGCGAGATCACGCCAGTAAATAAGACAAACGAACAGATTGCATTGAATTTATGTTTGAAAGACAATCCATTTGATTATAAACCAGATGCATCAAGTGAGTAATTTTAAGAATTCCAAAGGTATCAATCAAGTCACTAATTTTATTCTCATTTCCTTCGTCAAATAACAAAAGCTTGCAACGGAGACAATAACGAACAGACATTTAATAATAGTGTTACGTTATACGTCTTGATCATATTGGCTGTGAGTTTATTAGGTATTGGAATTGGACAGACGGCAATCGCAACCCTCGGTATTCCTTATATTGATGATAATGTGCAATCGAAACAGTCGCCATTATACATGGCAATCACAATAGGTGTAAGAATTTTGGGACCAGCTTTAGGTTATTATTTAGGATCAGTGTGCATGCGAATTTCATATGACTTTTCGACTGACAAGATTCATACAGATCCTGGATTTACTGGTGCTTGGTATCTCGGTAAGTAAATTTATTTTTAACGGTTTTAATCTTAATTTTAATCTAGTACATTTTTGAAATTTCTGTAATCCGTTAATATTCAAATTCAAAAAGATCGTTTAACTTGACATCAAAATTTATTAAAATTTGAGCCTTTCCCTGCTGCTGAAATGTCGTAAAAATTAGAAACAATAATGCAGACGAAAGGAATGCACATAAAAAAAACCAGACAATTACATACTCTCTTTCCCTCTCAGCACAAAAATGCATTATCAAAAAGTATTTGCAGTTGCGTGATATTTTTTTCGTCGCTCTTTATTTTTGTTGTGTACACGCGAGCGAGATACTTTATCCACATCCATGTGCTCTCTCTATTTTTATATTTTAGACGTAGAAAACGTCTCGTCTACATTCATACTGCATTTCGTGATTTTTACATGTTTTCTACTTTAACAGGTCTATTGCTTGTTTCCACGAGCATGTTCTTTGCTTCACTTGTTATGTTTACATTCCCGAGAACACTCCGCAATAAAACTACGAAAGTGCAACCGATCGATGTGAAACCAAATGCTGACGATAGTAAGAATGAGGAAACGACTGCTGTAGCTGAAACAATACCGAAATTTAAAGACTTTGGAAAGACAATTAAGCGTCAATTAAGAAATGATATTTTGATGTTTCGTACAGCATCAGCTGTTCTTCATTTACTTCCTATAACTGGACTTTATGTATTCCTTCCTAAATATTTCGAAACTCAATTCCATTTGTCAGCTGCTGATGCAAATTGGATTTCAGGAACTTTTGGAATCTTAGTTATGGGCGTTGGTATTTTTGTGACTGGTGTCATTTCCGTTAAATTTCCATTATCAGCTAAGAAAGTTTCGCTGTGGATTGCATTTACAGCACTTGCCACTGCTTTAGGATTATTCACTTTATCGACACTCGGATGTGAAATGGATAATTATGCAGGCTTGAAAACAGGATCGACTGGATCGTAAGTTCATAATTTTCATGCTTTATAATTAATGAACTAATTTGAAAATTTCATAGGATTACAAATTCTTTAGAATTTGTGCCACCTTGCAATAAATCTGCATCCTGTGGATGTGATACTAACATTTTTAAACCAATTTGTGGAGCTGATGGAAAAAATTACTTCTCAGCTTGTCATGCGGGCTGTTCCGATTGGTCAAAGGATAATAGCTCGTCAAGAATTTATCACGATTGTGCCTGTATAGACGGTAAGTCCTATTTGGTCTCTTTTAAAACATTTCTTTGAATTTGAACGTGTTATTTCAGATTTTGCTCAAAAAAGTGCAATCGACGGCTTTTGCAAGACTGAAAGCTGTAGCACAATCTTGATAATATTCGTAACAGTCTTTGCACTCACTGTCTTCATCCATTCCACATCTGAAGTAGGTGGAATGCTAATAATCATGAGATGTACACATCCAAAAGGTAATTTATTAATTTTAATACTTTAACTATTCAGTTTTAAAATGTTTATTAATTTAGACAAGTCAATGGCAATGGGAATTGTGCAATTTTCCCTCGGTTTACTTAGCAACATTCCTTGTCCTCACATATTCGGAAGAATCATTGATGCAACATGCATTGTGTGGCATAAAGTGTGCACCGAGAACAGTTATTGTTCGTTCTACAATGCTGATACTTTTAGGAAGTACTTTTTCGGTATGTCTAATTGCTGACTGTCTTTATTTTTAAAATTTATAGCTATTTAATTTATACAATAGGTGTTTCATGCTTTATCATGCTATTGGCATTTGTTATGGACATGATTGTGTTCTTTAAGTCTCATCGAATCGACATTGATCCTGAAGGAACTGAGCCAGAAGCTGATACGTCAAATGAGATTCAAAGTGAGGGCGAAGAAAATTTAAGATTACGTAAATTAACGCATGATAATGATGATGAACAGCATACCAAACTAGGAATGTAATAACTTTATTAATGATATGTCAAAAATAAAACTTTTTGTTGTTAACTATGTACTTTGGAACATAATAATTTCATGGATTTTCTTTGAAAGTTTAAAAATCATCACTGAAGTTCTTTTGATTTTTGAAAGAACATTGACGATTTTTGTCTTTTTTTTTTGTTGCAAAATTGCCCTTAAAATCAAAGAGAAATCACACGCTTAGTAAGGAAATCTATGGTATGGGACGATGCAGGGTTTTTTTAGAAAGATCAAAACTGCTTCAGAATTAACGGTTTTTGAAGTTTTAAAATTTAACGGTTTTCAAATTTACAAACTCGTCAAAATTTGAATTTTTGAAAACAATTACAAATTTTAAATTTTTGAAAGCCGTTAAATTTTGCTAGATTATTTGATTTTTTTGAATATGAAAAACAACGAATTTTGAGAACTGAAAGAAAATAAAAGAAATAAATGAATGAATTAAGCATAAGATATGAAAAGTAATTCCAAAGAGTGAATGATTGTGATCGTTTTATGAATTCCTTCTTACAGTTAATGCCCAACTTTGAACGATTCTTAACAAAATTAAATCACATTGTGAATCTATTGACATATTGAATGTTAAAGACGTAATCTCATTGACTACAATCTTAGATTAAGTTTTTAGACTTTGTTTAATGTTATTCATTATGAGAAGACAATGAAAAACTGTTTGTTAATGTTTTTCCGATTAAATTTTTTTTATTAATTTTTAAGTGAAACATAACTTTTTTATACAAAAAAGTATATCCAAACATAAATATGTGCCATTAGCTTGTGGATATAAACAAAACAAAATGAAAATATCAATTTATGGATATTAAGTAATAATAATAATAAGGAAATTAAACCTCAGAATGTAAGCTTTCTTATACATACGTAACATTGGCATGCATTATTTGTGTCAGACTTGCTAGTTGATGGAATTTGAATATTTATGGTATAACAGAGACAAATTGGAGTCTAGAAACATCCCCAAGTTAAGTTCCATCAATTATCATTTGATACAGATTTAAAAACAAGAAATTATCACAGATCGTGATCAAAATAAGATTAAATGAAGAAATAAAGAAAGATTATGAACCAAAAATTCATTAGTTTAAAATATCTGTAGATCCAAGAACATTTATCTGATCGTATGACTCGCTTGATGGTCTTGTAGAACGACGACTTTGAGGAACTTCAAGACTTTCTGCAGAATTTTCACTTTTATCAGGGCTTTCAGCATTTTCAATCTTTGCAGAAGTTTGAAGCTTAGAAGTTCCTGGATTTCCAGAGTCTACTGGAGTTCTTGGTCTTGGTGGATGTCCTCTACAATGTATACAATGCTCATCAGGTATTGTGGATTTTTCAGGAGGTGTATGAAAGCTTTCACTTTCATTAACGTCAATTACTGGTGGTCGATTTTGAGGATAACGAACTCCATCATTATATGGATGCATCTGCCTGAGCTTAGTTATATTATGACCTTTACATCCTTTAATCGGTCCATAATGCCCAACATCATGTTGTTTTCCAAACTGAGCGATAAAATCATCATGCCTTGCTTTATTCCACGCTGCACTTTCTTCCTCCATTCGTTCATATTCAGTGCGGATGACATTTTGCTCTAAAGCTTCTGGATGTCCCGAAAAGAAGGTTTCCTTGCGATAAGTAAAGTATATTGACATAACAATATACAGTATTAGCATGATAAAATCAACATAACTAAGTGATACTTTGTAGTTTATATAATTAGGTCTAATAAAATCAAAATATGTCTCGTTGATACTTTCTCCCGGTAATGTTGTTAAGGCTAAGAAATTGTTTATCATAAATCGATGTAAATTACCATATTTGAATAGAAATGAGATGTTGAGGGTCAGTATGAGACTTCCAAGAAATACAGCACATGTGATTGGCACAAATGTCAGCAATATTGATAAGATTATTGCTATAATAACTTCTAGATATGCAGACGTGATGTTATCGCAGAATATTTCCATAATAAAAACCACAAAGAACAAGCTTAATGTGAATTTGGACATAAATTGACCAATTGCGAAATAAATTGTAATCAATCCTAAGATTGCAGACACAACAAACGAACCGACTATGACAGTTATGAAATAATCAAATCCTTGTAAATCAAAGTCATACGATTTCATGAGTAGAATTGTTATAAAGCCACCCAAAAGCATTCCATTCAGGATTGATTCAATAAATTCTGGTGCCATTAAGTTAAGTATCATAACAACAGAAAATAAGATCAAGACAATGCTGAATCCTCGCTTAACGAAATCATTCTCTGTACAATGTGATGACCATGTATTTGGTTCACATGAATAGCTTGCGACTGGAACATAATATGTCATTTTTCCGTTCTCTCCTTTAATTAATGTATTTATTATGATGGCTCGTCCTGGAATTTTCTCAAACAAGTGTTTATTGTCGATAGGAACTTTCTTTGCCTGAATTTTAAAAGAAAATTTCCGTTATTTTTGACATCGTTATGAACAGTTTAAACAGCAATCATACCTGATAGGTTTTAGTTATGCTGTCATAAAGCATTTTCTCAATCGCGACAAAATAGGCATCAGCACTGAATTCCATCATATCTATGTATGTGTAATATGTCTCATAAATCAGTTCCGAGCCATTACAAGACTTATTTGGTATTATTGCAGCCAAATATGTCGGTTCCTCGACTAATTTTATCATGTCAACAATTGCAGAATTTACAGCACAACTTCCAGGCATTGGAGATGATTTTGGATAAGCAATAAGTGCGATAATGCATTGTACATCCTCAATATTATCATTTGTAAGTTTAAATAATTTCTCAGAATGATCAGCTTTTAACAGAAATCCAATATTAGTTCCATATTGTTCGATTGATCCATTAGAACTGTTTTCTAGGCTTATTGAAATTGGTTGATGATGGCAATGTACTTGCATTATAGCGAATTCATAGCTGTAATTTGTTTCGTTTAATGAAACATCAACTGCCGAGTATTTAGACAAAAGGATTCTTGTCTTGAAAATTATCTCACTGAAGTTTCCATTGAACTGTAAGTCATGGATTTTAACTAGTTGAAAAATGAGAAATTATTGAAAAATTGCATGAATTGATGCAGGGGAAGTAGTTAAACATGCTTAAATTAAGCAGAATTGTTACTTCGAAGTGCAAGATGCAGTTTTTAAGGGATGAAATTCTTAATGAAAAGCTTTTACTTACATAAAGGATTAGAATCAACTTTCCATGCTGAATAAACAATTATTAATAAGATTAAAACCTTCATTGTGTTTAATCAACTATATTAAATGAGTGCTTTCGATTTTAAAGGCAGCACAGCACACAGAATCTACCAAAATTAAATTCACTGAAAAGCACGCAACAAACTTTGGTAAACAAAACAATAACGATTTTAAAAAATTCAAATTTCCACTGGAATCAAAATTCCATTGGAAATTTAAAAATTTAAAAAACCGTTGAAACTTAACGACTGTTAAAAATGCATTTTTATCAAAACAACCACGTGCTTAATATAACAACTTAAAAAAACTTGTTCTCGTGCTTTAACGTGATATATGTGAACACAAATAAAATGTTGTTTAGAAAATGACTCAGTCTCTTCTTAGATTTCGACGAATAAAGTTTATTCAATCAGGCATTTAAAAAATGTTCAAATTAATTTTAGTATTTTTGACACTTTTTGGATTCTCCTCAAAAGCACAGAATGTTCAATTACGTTAGTTTACTTATTCAAATTCTCATGTCGATATTCAAATATTATTAAATTAAATATTTACAGCACAAAGCTTCAAAATATGTTCAAAGTCATCACCAAATCTTGCGGAATGCGTTAAAAATTCTGTGGAATATTTAAGACCCAGTTTAAGAACTGGTGATCTGGGAAATGGAATAAGAATTGTGCCATTAGAACCACTCAAAATTGATGATATCTTTTTAGAAAGAGGCTCTGGCTTCTTTTTCAATTTGTACAACATTAAAGCTTACAACATCCACAACTTTAAGATTGAAAAGATTCGAGTGACTTTAGAGCCAAATGTGGTTGCGGATCTTCTAATAAAAATCAAGAATGTCGATTGTTCAGGCGATTACAAAATTAACTTGCTCCTTGGCATTGTAAATCTTCAAGGACATGGAAAGATTGAAGGAAAAATTGGTAAATAAGCGGCAGTTTTATTGCGTTATGACATCACTATCTATGTCTGTCTGGCTGACTGGTTGTTTATTTTCATTTTTTCAGACGAGATTAAAGCGCGTCTCAAAATCGAAACTGTTCCATTATACAGAGACGGCGTTGAGTACAAAAACGTCACAAAAGTTCCAGCCATTGTTAAAATTGATAAGTTGGTGCTTAAAATTCATGATTTATTCAAGGATAAAGTCCTTAATGATGTTGGCGAGCGTCTTGTGAATCAGAATTTGGATATGTTCTTGCCGGAAATTGAGAAGAGTGTCTCGAACAGCTTATGTGAGATTTCTAAGTTTTTATGTGGGGGTTCTTTGGGGGTCTTCTGTTTGAATAATATTTTAATAGCTAGAAGTATTTTAAAATCTAATTCCTAAAATGAGATATCAAAGTTAAATTTTAATTTAAAAAACTACATTATTCAAACCAAGGACCCCCCAAAAATTATTTTTTTTATAAATTGTAATTTTTTTCTTTCCAAAATACAGCAAAAATTGGATTACAAGCCAGTAGCGGAGTATTCGGACGAATTCCTTTCAAACTCCTCCTGCCTTAATTCTCAAGATCAAAATGATTATTAATAATTTCGATGTCTTTATTGACTATCGTAATTAACACAATTCGCAATTAACATAAAGAATTAAACACAAAAAAGAATCTTTACAACCAGTTTGAATTTTTTCGGATGATGAAGTCAAAAAACTTATCGTTTTGTTTTTATTTTATTAATTTCTGTTCTTAGACTTTTGCATTGATTTTCGTTAAAGTTCTTATTATTATGCTAATAAAATGATTTTAGATGCTGTCAATTTTAAATCTGAATTTTAATTATCCATTCTGTGTAGCTTTACACTATACACCACTATACAGTGGTGTAGTTAAACAATTGAAACAGACTTGATTCTTTCATTAATTAGTCAACGGAAATTTTACTTTTGAATCAGAACTTTACAAATTCTCATTTAAAAGCGTTCAACTTACATTTCAAAACGTTACAACAGCCTCTTTTTGGAAAATTTCAAATTTTCTTCTGTTAAATTTGTTTTTTTCATATTCACACCGAATTCACGTGTGAATCTATTGGTTTTGTTCAGATTGAAAAATCAGTTTTTTGAATTTTGTGAGGATATGGAGCAAGATAGCTTAAAATGTTCAGAGATGAAAAGTTTGTGCCTGAAATTTTACATCATTTTCAAAAAAAGATTTCAAATTGATTATGGCATTGCTGAAAAAATCGCAAAATACACTTTCTATAAGCAAACAAGCAAGCAAGCAAGCAAGTTAATCAGCAAGAAATCTCAATAACGAGACATTGTAGAGACTTCTAGTTTTTTACATTTGATCCGTGCTGCTCTATAGAAGAGCTGTATTGTTTTTGGGCAAGGTAGAAACAGCCGTTGCTTCAGAAAAAGCAAAAAACTTTCCTTTCTTACGAAATTTTTCAAATTAAAAGTTCACTGTGATTTTGTTTTTAAATTAAACTTTGGATGAAATTTTGGACTAGGGGCGACCCTAGTCAAAATCAATTTTGTCACTTTTTTCTTCGAGGGTTTATCCAAATGGATTGAAACTTTGCATAAATATTCTAGTGCTTAAAACAAATACAAATAAAACATCCTTAAATTTTTTTGGGCAAAGAACCAAGTAGGAAATACATTTTCAATTTTGGACTAGGGGCGACCCTAGTCAAAATCAATTTTGTCACTTTTTTCTTCGAGGGTTTATCCAAATGAATTGAAACTTTGCATAAATATTCTAGTGCTTAAAACAAATACAAATAAGACATCCTAAAAATTTTTTGAGCAAAGAACCAAGTAGGAAATATGTTTTCAATTATGAACTTGAGACAGGTCTAGTCAAAATCTAGTTTTTCACTTTTTTTCTTCGAAGGTTTATCCAATTACAGTGAAACTTTGTGTGAGTATACTATTATTTAAACAAAACAGTTTTAAATATCTAAAGCAAGAAATGTATTCTATATGTCGTCAGACCCAAATTTTATAAATTTGGTTGTACATTCAAAAACAACGTGACTTAAAATTTTGTCCAAAAAAATGATTTTTATTAATTCAGAAATGTGTGACCTGAAGATTAGAATGCTTATACAAAGTTTTACTGTATTTGGATTTATCCTCGAAGAAAAAAAAAGTGAAAATCTAGATTTTGACTGGACCTGTCTCAAGTTCATAATTGAAAATGTATTTCCTAATTGGTTCTTTGCTCAAAAAAATTTTAGGATGTCTTATTTGTATTTGTTTTAAGCACTAGAATATTTATGCAAAGTTTCAATCCATTTGGATAAACCCTCGAAGAAAAAAGTGACAAAATTGATTTTCTATTGTGTACTTTGGTCAAAAAAATTTTTTTTTGTTTTATTTGAATTGACATATTTCTGACATAAATCACATACCAATATTACTTTTTGTAATGCATAGCTTAAAAAAAACCGAAATCTAAAATTTCGACTACCCCATCTGATTTTTGTTCATACTCTTCACTGTGCAAACCAAAAAACAAATTCTTTATCTTAAAACGCTTGACAAAATAGCGACATAATTCAGGATTAATTACTTTTTAATAAAATTTTAACATTAACGAGAAAATGTGGTTCAAATAAGTGTGAGCTATACTGGTTCATAGTGTTCCCAAGGGTGACGAAATTCAAACTAAGTGTTTTTGTAGCTGTCATAATTATGACAAAAATTAGGTATAACTTTTGAACTGTGTCGATATGGGTCTCGGCCGTACTTCACACCCACCCTTCAAATTTATGCTGAGCAAATCTTGGTCTATCCATAAGACTTTTGATGGTACGGTGTGAATATTTTCTTCACACTTTTGATTTTAATTTCAGATCAATTCAAAACTGACTTCTGTTGTGCATTCTAGAGCAAACCATTCATGAATAATTTTTTATTGATGTCTTAGGAATCGAATTTGCCACATTAGATTCAAATACACTATTTTTTCCACAAAATTAATCAACCAATATCATCAATAAGGAATCATAACGGTGCCTCTCAAGAGCATCATACAAAATCCCTTCTTTACTCATTGACGTCAGAAGTGTATGACAGCTTATATTTCATACTAATTAGCCATTCATCTGTAAAACATTACGCAAAATAAGACAGTTAACAGTCCAATGTCAAAGATTATTGTGCCCAAAGAAAGCTGACCATGAACAAATTTTGCAAAACAAGCTTCAGCATCTAATTCTAAACATTAACTAATTGACAACTGATCTAGGCTAATAAAACATGTTTTATGGACCATTTATGATTGAATGGTTAGTCAAAAATTATTGACAGATTAAGAAGGATTAAGAATATGTCAGTGATTTGCAGATTGTATCTTTAGACAGTGCTTGTCGAACTTTTTTGCTTCTATGGACCACTATGCAAGTGACCTAATCAGTTGAGATTAGTATGTATCCCCCATTTAGAATTTAAAGACTGAAAAATCCAAAATGTTCACATGAGCTATAGCAATACCTTAAGTACCGCAGCTTATAATTCATCAAGCACTGATCTTCATATGAATAGGCATCAAATTAAACCAGAAATGTAAATTTTTCTGTTTTATTAATTGCCTCAATTGTATTCAGACGATTTTATTACAGCATTTAATTTAGTTGTAAGTTGTACTTTGTAGTGGAAGGATCAACAATTTGAGAAGTCCAAAAATATATTTGCTTAAAATAAAATAAGTTTTTTTGGAGGTTAAACGATGAAAAATATTAAAAGGTAGCTACATAATATTGGATTTGCTTTAGAACTTCTTAACAGTTTTTCTTTCAGAAACTTTTTGCAAATCATTCTGATCATCTCGATCAGTCAACAAGCTGCTGCATCACTTGGTAAGCAAAACTTAAATCTCAAATAAAATTCCCAAATGTTCAATAAATTCTCCCCATCCTTAAAAGCATCAAGTATCAAGCCATGCGTACGGAATTCCGAAAAATATTCAGATTGTGTGATTGATGCGATTAATGCATTAAAGCCTCAAATAAGCACTGGTGTTTTTGGACCTAACCTAGCAATTGAAACAAATTTGACAAAATTGGTGGTTGGAAATGTGTCTGTGAACCAAAATTTCAATCTTCAACTAAGTGGACTGTATGCACTTGGGCTGAACAACTTTAAAGTCAATAAGCTTCGAATTAGTCCGGAAAAATTCAAGGTAAGCTTAAACTTCCTTTATTTATTGGTTGTTTTATATTGAGGGCAAGTTATGGGCTGTTAATGATCAACCTTGACTCATTTGAAGGGGCTACTTTGAGCTCCATACTCTAGTAACTGCAACATAATTGCAAATGTCCATTAAATAAATTATATTAAAGCAGTTGGCTTATTCCATCTAGCTCGATTCAATTATATCATTTGAACACCTTGATGCATTCTCAAGATACTCGTTGGTATGGAATTTGGGTATTTTTAATCTACAAGGAGATGGAGATCTGACAATTTCAATTGGTAAGTGCTGTTTGATGTCAAAATTTGTAAGCACAGCTTTATTTCTTCCAATTCCTCACTCAGATAATCCCAAAGTTCTGCTAAAATTTATTGGATCTCGATATTTCAAAAATGACATCGAATATCTCAAAATAGACAAAACTCAGTTGAACATCAAGTCAGCACAGGTCAAAGTATATTTCGATAATCTCTTTAATGGACAAAAAGCTCTTGAGGAAGCAGCTAATGAGGTTGTTAATCAAAATATTGACATTATTAAAGGTGATGTCTTTCCAATCATTGAGCAGAACATTGGAAAAATAATTCAGAAAATGGCAAATCAAGTATTTGAATCAGCATCATACGACGAGTTCTTTCCATTGAATTAAAGACATGACATGTTTTGACAACAGATTGTTAATCTCTAAAAATAGTTTTAAAAACAAAAACAAATGTTTTTTTATTGCGATGCTGCATCTAATTTAATCTGTCAATGAAGTTCTTGAATAAATTTATGGTTTTTGGTTAAAATCTTAATCTTTTATAGGATCTGAATAAGTGTCTGAGAACTGCAATTCAACTAATATCAACTCAAGCAAGGGGAAAACAACTTGATGAGAAATTATCAGCACGTTGTTATCTCCTTTGAGTCTAATTTTGCTAAGCTAAAGACACTAGTGCACCATAGAACTCTATAGAGTACAACTTAATCAGCATTTCAGACCCCTCTAAAATTTCAAACTGCGCCCCTGATCTGAATCAGAACAATTATCAAACTAGAAGATTGAAAAGAATTATAGATCAACAGTAAATCAAGCTAGCTCCACGTTTTCATCTGTTTGGCGCTTATAAGCAATTAAACTAATTTAGATCGAGCAGACCTGAACCAGTATTTCTCAAACTTTTTGAACAGCACCACAGTTGAAACTCACCACTTCCTTCTTGAGCAATAAACCAGATTTTTTTTATCAGCTCCAATTTTCGTTACTGATCTATGGCATTAAAATTTTATTGGATATTTGGCTTTTTTAAGGAAGAAAAATATAAGGTTGACTCACATATGATTTTTGTTTGTTATCATTCAAAAAAATACTGGAAATGCTAATTTTTAACCTCTCGTAATTAAGTCTTTTGGTTTTTGCATTGAGCCTTTCAGGTTTAGTTGCCATTATAAATTCGCAGGAAAGAGACTTAAGCTTATCATTTACCTGCGTTGGAAGTTTTTATTTTTTTAAAAAAAAGTTAAAATAATGAAGAATTCAAGGTAGGATTAGATGCTATTGTAAAGAGTCAATTGTCAATTTTGGATATCCCCAAATGCCTTCTTTTGTTTTGTATAAAATTTTTCAGTATTTTTCTGCAAATCATTGTCGTCATTTTAATCGCTGAAGAATCATCTTCATTGCTAGGTAAGAACAATAATTTCTATACAGAATTAAGGCATGGCAAGTGACTGTGCTGTTTTTGACATTTTTTTAGCACCAAGTATCAAGCCGTGCCCCATAAATTCCCCAAATCTTGCCGACTGTGTGATCAAAGCGATTGAGAAGTTAAAACCCGAAATTGGCACCGGAATTTATGGTCCAAATTTAAGAACGGATGTTAACTTGACAAACTTTAATCTTGGTGACATTTCTGTCGATCGAAGCTTTAAACTTAAAATGACTGATATGCATGGATATGGCTTCAACAACTTTAAAATTGAAAAGCTTCGAATAAATCCTGAGAATTTCAAAGTAAGTTATCTAGACTTTATAGCTTCTATAATAGTCACTGACTTTGCTTTCAATTCGTCAGATTGATGCGATCATGTTCTTTCCACATGCTGATGTTTATTCAAAATATTTCTTAGCGTGGAATTTGGGGATATTTACACTTCAGGGAGGAGGAGATATGAGCGTGTCCATTGGTTTGTAAACTTATTTAACTGCTTAACTCACCAGACAAGCAAATGATTTGTTAGATTCTTTGGTTATCTGGGAATTGAGGCTTGGCAAAATTGTTGACAAAATAGCAAGGAAATCCTTGTTAAGACTCATTAGACGACTCTTTGTTAATTATCAAAGATTCAGAACTGATCATGTGACTTTTAAACACATCAATTCCCTTCAAAAATAGCTTTTCATCTTAACCAAATTCAAACCCAACATTTCTTACCAGGGCTCGTGAGGAGTAAAAAAAATTTTGATTTTCTAAAATCAGTTATTTATGTGATTGAAAAAAATCATGATTTTTCAAATCTACGTAAATCTTTAAGGAGGATTTTATTACGTAGACAAAATCCCTGCGTAGTGATTTTGATTACGTAAAAACCATTAGGATTTTGGTGACGTGAAGTTGAAATTGTTTACATTTTTTTTAAACTATTGTTAAATTAAATAAAATTCGTGATGGACGCAGGAAAACTTTTTCGATTCCATTTTACTTATTCACAAAGCGATGGAAAATCTTTTTGTCGTTATTGCAGTGCGAGATTTGTTGGTAAAAATTTGTCTAATCTTAAGCGACATACAGAAAATAAACATCCGGAACGAGCAAAGGAATCAAATCTAAAGACGAGAAAAAGACCTCCAGCAACAGGTCCAAATGCAGATCAAGAACCTCCAAAGAAGATTAAGAAATTAACAAGAGGAGAATTGATCCAGTCTTGTGAGGAATTGGTGATAATTAATTTGGTTCCATATAATCTTTTTTCATTTGCTCATTTTAAAAGAATTATTCAAATTCACAAGGTATCTGCAAACATTTCAGTCAATCCACAATCGATCCAAAACTTTGTTGAAGATTTGGCAAAACAAGTGAAGCTGCTTTTAAAAGGTGAATTAAAATATAAAATGATAGGACTTAAGCTTGATACTTGTTTGGCTGTTGCTGCTACTCCTAGTAACCAGTCTTCTGTAGAGCGATCATTCAGCGCATAACACATACTTATCTTTGCTTTACGACTTTAAAGGTCAATATCCGCTGCATATTAGCATATTCGCTGCCCTTAAATGCTTAAATTTGTTAAATTTCAATAAAGAACAATCACAAAAAAAAATGTAAACAATTTCAACTTCACGTCACTAAAATCCTAACGGTTTTTACGTAATCAAAATCACTACGCAGGGATTTTGTCTACGTATTAAAATCTTCCTTAAAGATTTACGTAGATTTGAAAAATCATGATTTTTTTCAATCACATAAATAACTGATTTTAGAAAATCAAAATTTTTTTTACTCCTCACGAGCCCTGTTTCTTACCATAGATAAATCCAGAATTCTTCTTAAATTTGTCGGTTCCACCTACTTTAAGAATGGCGTAGAGCACATCAAAATTGATACAATCCAAATGACAATCAAGTCAGCAGAGATGAGAGTCTACTTTGATAATCTTTTTAATGGACAAAAGGCACTTGAACAGGCAGCTAATGAAGTTATTAATCAAAATATTGACATTATTAAAGGTGACGTAGTTCCTCTTATTGAGCAGCGTATATCAAGTGTAGTTTTAAAAATTGCTAATCAAATATTTGCATCGGGTACTCATAAAGACTTCTTTCCTGTAAATTGAACTTGTGATTCATTCTTTAATCTGCTGGAGAATAAATATTTTGAGACAAACAAATTTTGTGTATATTCATTCTTTTTTGTTTTGCATGATCTTTCAGTTTTTAGCAGAGCTCGAAATCGACTTGAGTCGACTTCATTTTTTTCAAGTCAACTACTAGTTGACTAGACTTTAATCGACTCAGATTCAACTTTTTCATTCAAAAAAAGTTTTAATACTCGAGTCAATTCGAGTTGACTCGAACCCTATCAGCTTTGTGATCTGGTTTTTGGCTAATGTTATTTGGAAAAAATTTCATTTTGGATAGTAATTTATTAACTGGATATGATCTCAAGTTTAAATATGAACTAGATTTACTGGAAAGTCCGTGATCCATAAAGCAAATGGGATCTCTGTTTAATGTTTCACAATTCAACGTCTCCCTTAAAATAATTCCATCCAAAAAGAAGCTTTATATCAGAATCCCTTTTTCGATCTTAAGTAATATCTGAAGAACCCTAAAATGAATGGAAGACGATCCACTTCAATGAATCGTAAGAATTGTGATAAAGCAAAATAATTTCTAAAGTTACGAAATATACGAATAAACCCCCCTTAAATGATCAATTTAATTAGAATTCTAAATTCTTTGATTATAAATCGATGAAATTCTAAATTATTGGATATTAAAATGTCTGACAGATAAAATTGATGAGGTGAATTGGACACAAGATTAGCGCTTACCTACAGAATATACCTCATCACACCACATCTGAACATAACTAGAAATGTAAATTTTTTCCTGATAATTGTCTGTCTGCTGATATTTGTTTTGTAATTTTCGAGTTTAGTTGTCATTAATACTTTGTGGTGGACAGACTTGGTTCTAATTTTGTTCTGCGGTGACTTTTTTTTTTGGTGCAGAATTTTTTTTTCAAGATTTTTTTTTGTGCAATGAAGACACATTTTAGGTAGGATTAGCTGTTTAACATTTTGATATGTTCCTAATATTCTTCTGACCTTTTATTATTTCTGAAGTATTTTTCTGCAGATTTTTGTAGTCATATTAATCGCCGAAAACAATCGGGCAGCGATTGGTAAGTTAAGTCATTTTTAAGTGCAGTTTTTTAATTGAAACTGGACGTTCCTACCAACGTGTACATCTAATAAAGTTCTTGACAGTTATTTTTTCAAATATTTTTTAACCGTTATATTTTCAAACATTTTTGATCGTTATTTTTATAAAATATTCTTGAACCCTTACCACTTCCATCGACTAGAATTTACATCGCTTTTATACTTTTTCATATTTATCTAAATGTTTCAAGCTCCAAGCATCAAAACATGTCCAAGAAATTCGCCAAATTTAGCAGAATGTTTGATAAAAGCAGTCGATGTAATGAAACCTCAAATAAGCACTGGCTATTATGGACCAAATTTAATAAGTGATGTCAATTTAACCAGAGTATTAATCGGTGATATTGCTGTGAATCGTAATATAAATGTGAAACTTCTCGGAATGTACATTGTTGGAATGAATAACTTTAAAATTGAAAAACTCAGAATAAATCCTGAAAAGTTCAAGGTTTGTTAATAAATTCCTGTGAATTGAATGAGACGTGCTAACTTCATTTTTGTCATTTAGATTGAAATAATTGTTTCTATTCCTCATATGGATGGATTTGCAAAATATTCTCTTGGATGGAATTTAGGCATTTTTGCTATTCAGGGAGCAGGAGATGAGAACTTTTCATTAGGTATGTAAACTTTTGATTTTTAAGACAGTCGCTGAGGTTAATTCCACTATTTTAAATCCCTTAGACAACACCAAAGTTCTTATGAAACTATCAGGCACTCGATATCCAAGGAATGGCGTTGAATACCTCAAAATTGACTCAGCTGAAATGACGATTAAATCAGGAAACTTGAGAGTCTACTTCGATAATCTCTTCAATGGACAAAAAGCTCTAGAGAAGGCAGCTAATGAAGTTATTAATCAGAACATTGAACTATTTAAAGGTGAAGTATTTCCACCAATTGAGCAAAATCTTTCGAAAATATTGTTAAGATTAGCAACTCAAATCTTCGATTCAGCTCCATATGAAGAGTTCTTTCCTATAAAATAAAGAGTTTCTTCCTGAAAAAAAAAAGAAGTCATTAAAAAGCCACTCAGAAAATTTTGTTTTTCTTCTCATTTTTCTTTATTTTCCTTTTTCATAAAATCGGATTTTAATTCTTTTTTTTTGGGTTCCTTATGACAAATTGTATTTGCATATCATATAAAAAGGAAATTGGTATGAGGATATATCAATGTATGTCTTAAAAAGATATTTATGTGTGTAGAAAAATTAAGAATATCTTTTTACAATAAGAAAAAAATGCACTTTGTCCACAAATTGTATCAAAATTGGTTTTAGTTCGGGAGGTGGGTGCAATAAAGTCTTATCTCAAAAAGGCAAATTTTTCCTTTTAATTTTATTTATAAAAATGTTTTTTTTTTTTTAAAGAAACAAAGAAAATAATAATAATAATAAAGACAAATCAATAACATGATCTAACTACCTACTTATCAGTATAACATTTTTTTTCTCATATTGTGTTGTGGATTGCAATCAAGTTTGTTTGTTTGTTTTTTTTTGTATGTATGATTTAAGAAGAATGGACAGGTAAGAAAAAAAAAAATAGATATAGAAAAATTTTAAGTTACTAGTTTGAGGACATTCTTTATCCTTTAAGGTTCAATATGTATTATTTATAAAAAAAAAATTAAGGTTGATAGATTTGAAAAATGGAAATAAAAAAATAATAAAATAAATTGTATGCATTAAACGATTGTGCCTGTGTTGAGCATTAAAAACTTTTATCATTTGACTCATCATCGTCTGTTGATGGTGACTCGTAGATATTAATTTGTAATGGAACGGTCGGTGGTGATGGGGTAGAAGTGACAGAAATCTCATTGGGAATCTCACTTAGTGATAGATTACTAGTCTCATCATTCTCATTTATAAGAGTTACAGAGTCTTCGGAAGATGCCATAATTATATTATCGCGTACATCACGATCGGAGTCTTTCTTTAAGTTTGCAATTTCCTGCAAGATGCGCTTCTTTGTTTCGCTGTTGTCATTCAGATAATATGCTGTAATAATTAATGATTTTCTTTTAATACATTATTAACTTAGAGACTAGACTGACAAGTGCATTTTTATGTTGTAGAGTTTTTTAAGCTCTCAAGTCTTTCAACGGTTTTCAAAAATTCAAATATTTTAACGGTTTTCAAAATTCAAACCTCAAAATAATCATCATTTTGAATATTCAAAAAACTTTTGATGGTTGAATGCACCAGAACGTTCAAAAATAACTTACAATTTTCCTGCAATGTCGCGGAGAAGCATTTTGCGATGCAGATACGAATATTGGGTATTTTATCGTTGACCAATTCAAGAAGCTTCTTAAAAACATATAATGTGAACATTTTTGGTTCTATTGCTCTAAATTCCAGCAATTTATCAACAGTTAAAATATAAACTTGACGTTCACGCCATCGCGATGAATTTGCAAAATGGAATGATAGGAATTTCAGTAATTGCTTCTTTTGCTTTGACTTTTCAACGCACGATACAAACTGTTGGATGTGTATGTGTGTATGTATGTTGAGAATAAGAAAGTGCCGAAAAGGAAAAAGAGAGAAAGAATGTACATTAAGTATTGATAAATAAAGAAAATGTTATATTAAAGGTAACTAACCGCATCAATTCCAACTTTTCGGACACAATCGTATTTGTCCATCATTAATTTCAACGCCAATCCAGTCAGGTAAAGGACGCAGTTATCCTTCTTTATATGATTATTGAGCTTATTTAATTCAACAATTTGAACACCAATTTGTTCGCGAAGTCTCCAGTTGACAACATTAAATGTCGGCAACCAGCACATTTCCAATTGATTGACAATCAATTCATGCTTTGAGGGATCAATGATCTTTATGAAATTTGATACTTGCTTAACAACCTCAATCTTTATCTCATCAATATCTTTGAAGAATTCAACAAAGGGCGCAACTAGATCTTTTGTTGCATTCTCAGCGCCAATTATCTGAGCAATTTGGAAAATTGATTTTGCCATTGTCTTTCGTACGCGAACACTACTTTGTAGATCATTGCATAATGACAGGAAATGTTGATGCAAGAGTGGCCAAAATTTACGACCTAATGTGAGCATAACGGCTGGAAAATTGAATGCACATTTAAAGCACAAATTATTGTCGATATCTTTCATATATACAAAATCTTCTAATAAATTCCATTCGACCTCGACTGCTTCATTATTTTCTAGCTTATTTGATGATGTGGACGGTGGCGGTGGCATCTCATAGAATTTATCATAAAAGTCATCCAATTTCTTCTTATTACCACTTCCATTAACTTTCATGCTACTCTCACTGACATTATCCTCTTCGTCCATGACAAGTGTCGATTGATCCTGATTGAAACTTGTGTCTTCCTGCATGTTGTTATTATTTAATTCATTCTTATCGACTGTAACGTCAATATCATCAATATTTGATGGCTCAATGTACCAATATTGATGTGAATTAAATTGTTCCAATTCCGAATCATCACTGCTCGACTCACCACTGCTACTATTATTATTTTCTTTATCGCCCAATGTTAAATTCTCAAGTTTCTTCTCAAATGAATCATTTTTAGCACCATCAGTGTCTTCATTATTCTGATCAACATATGATTTCACAACCATCGATTTATTAAAATTATTGTCGAAATCTGTAATGTCATCGTCATCGTCGTCATCATCCTCTGATCCATTTTCTTTTAATAGATATTGATAGTTGTTGAGAACGCCCGAATCATTGTCATTACTATTAGCAAATCCCATGTGCCAAACGAATGAAGACTCAATGGTTTCAGGTGTAAGGGAGCGATTATTGATGAAATTATTTTTCAATGGTGTATTAAATTTTAAGAAATTATTGAATGCATCATCGCTATTATTATTATCATCTCCTTTCATAGGATTCATCAAATCATCTGATGTCGTTGATAAACGTTTCAAAATTGCCGTTGGATTAATTGAATTGTGTATGGAAAATAACTCACATTCATCTGATTCTGATGCTGTTGTGGATGATAAACGACCACCAGACGTATTCATACGATCATTAAAATGACTTGCTTTAATAATTGACAGCAAATAAGTCTCGACATTCATCTTCTTTGCCTCAATATTATCACCTGACGACGATAATTTCATTGTCGAATTAGCATTCGGAACCGATAATGATCTTGTTGTCTTTTCGCTTCCTTGTTTTTGGTTAGTGATGCACTCTTTCGCAAATTCTGTTTCGTAATATTCCAAATTTTTGAAAATAACGGACGAATTTGGTTGGTTTGAATATAAAATCATGTTAGATTGGCATTGTTGACGAAAATCTTGATCTGCTGCATTTGTGATAAATAATTCTAGACGATAATTGTAAGCCAGTCCGACGATGGGTGGTGAAGCGAATGTTGCCAAGAACTCGCCCAAGCTCTACAATAATTTAGGGGGATAGTTCGATTATTAAGTGCTGTTAATTTTGTAACGTATATTTGAAATTTAAAAATAATTTTCAGCAAGATGAAGTTAATTTTTAAAATTCAAATATATTTCTAGCGGATATTTGAATGATCTCCAAAGTTGAGCAGGAAAACTTACATTAAGCGCCGATATTATCACCCAACGTGAGTCATCAAACATAAACTTTTTCATAATTGGTACTAAGTATTTTCTACGTAAATTTAGACTACATAAGATTGATATCATCGGTATGATTTGAGCACAAACGTTCCGAATATTCCATAATGAATCCTCACATAGTTTTACAAATTGTGGCAGCATGCTCGTTTCCAGCACATCACCACCTAATACTTCACACATCACAGGAAATACGGTCGCGCATTGTTTTCGTACATTCGACACCTCACTTTGTGTCATTTCAATAAATTTGTCAAAGAATGTCTCGTGCGTCATTTCCATGCCAATTATAGGCGCCACTTTGGCCATTATCTGTGAGTAGTATGAAATAAAGGAAGAGAAAAGAAGAGAAAAAAGGAAGAAAAATTAATGAAATGAAATTTATACAATTTTTTTTTCTTCTTTATTTCGTCTTTTATTTGAGCAATTGCAAAGATCTTAAAAAATAATTCAATTTGATGACACTGGAATCAACGTTCAGCTCATCAAAGCTGGCTGTGATATGATATCAGAATTTTTGGAGACATTTCACAGCCACTTTGTGAGTCTGAACATTGAACAATATTCTTGGAAGAAATGAAATAAATACACTTTGAAGATTTTATGCTTCATGCTCAGCTGAAATGAGACAAGAGATATTGAGTATACTTAATGTTTTGAGAGAAGAAAATGTTACTGCTACTTCTATGGTGCTACCCGAATGATACATGATTCGATGCGTTGTGTTTTATTCATTGAAAACCGTTTTGTTTGAAAAGCGGTGTAACAAAATGTAACATGGGGGGGGGGGGGAGGGGTGTCTTTTAAAAAAAGTTCACGAAAAAAATTTGTTAACAAATTCACACTTAAAACATATTTTTTTTTAAATTTTCCACCTTTTTAATGATTTATAAAAAGTTATCAAAATAAAATAAATTATGAACGTTCAGGGGGGGGGGGGGGGGGGGGGGTTGTGAGTTGTAACATATTGTAACAAGAGGGGAGGGGTGGGGGGGATGAAAAATGTCGTTTTTTTTGCGTAACGTAATAAGTGAACGGCCCCATATGAATTCGACTTTTTGAAGTTCAAAAATACGTTGAAATTTAAATTTTTGAAAACCGTTTGAATTTTTAAAGACCGTTAATAACTTAATCAATTTGAAATAGCTTCCAGCTCAGAATATTGCGACATTTAATCTACACGGACAGTAAAAAATTTCATTGCAACCACTGACTCGCATAAAAAGGGATCGAAAAGCGATAAAATGGAGAGGAAGAAGTGATAATTAGATTTCCACCGATAGTAAAATAAAAATTATTTAATGACACGCTACATTATATGAAGCGATTTTAATGAAGACATTATAAATCTTTTTTTCCCTTCATATCTCGTACATCGTTCCTTGAATTAATAAATGTCAGTCATTGTTATTAAATCACTTATTACATTTATTATTGGAAATATAAAGACAAAATGCCATTAAAGCTTCAGAAGTTTATTAATAAAAGCACTTTTTGACCATTAAAAATTGTCGATATTCCCGCAGCATCTAGCTCTTCAAAGCTGGCTGTGATATGAGAAGTAAAAATTTTATATGACATTCCACAACCACTTTGAGAGTCTAAAGACCGCGGATGGACGAAAAAATAAATAAATAAAAAAAGTTGACGCACATAAAAAATTGTTGCATATGCCTTTCACTGAACTCGTCAAAATGGCTGTGATATGGAGGTTAAAATTCAGCACGTCACAACCAATATTGACGAAACAGTAATAGGAATGTCCACATCACCTGATATAACATGAGTCACTTTTTAATGGCAATTTTCCATCATCATTTAGAATTATTGTTGTACAGCCAAAGGTCATATAATTTTCCCAACTAAGCTCATCAAAATGGCTGTGATATGAGTAATATTATTCAAAAAAACAGCATTGTCCAAAATGTGAAAAAAAATATATTTAAAATGATATGAAAATATTTTCATTAATGAATTCATGTTTTTATGTTCAAAAATGTCACTTTTTGTTCACCTCAAACATAAAATTCATTTCTTTATCATTTCGTTTTTTTTCACATTTAGAGATGAATGTCGATTAGCATTTCCATAGCATTAAATATAAGCTACGAATATGTGTTTCTTTTATCTTTCCCAATAATTCGGAGAAAGTTTTTGGACATATCACAACCAAATTGTGAGTTCAGGCAGGAAAAGACTTTATCGTTGATTTGGCCTGTTCTTTACACTTTAATTTTATAGTCACATGATGTACTTAGTAAGCAGACCTTGCTCATCAAAGCTGGCTGTGATAGAATAACAAAGATTTTTTGTTTGGTTTTAAAGAATTTAAAAAAAAATCACTATCTTACAGCCAGTTCTGACGGCAAAGTACACTACTATCTCTATGCATGCATGCAGTTAAGCCACTATGAGAACTGCAGACATATTTGCGCCTGAGAGTCATGAATAATAAATTTTTTTCTTCTCTCTCTCTCTCTGCTTTATGTCATTCCATCAATCACAATTGTCACTGTTTTGTTATCACAATTTCAAATTTATATATAATTTTTTTTTGTTTTAAGAAAAAAGGACACGTGCTTTTCTATGTCATGTGAAATCATATCAATGTTGCATTTTTTTTCCCCTTTATTCGTCTGTCAACATAATTAAAAGCGATAAAAATAAATTATTCAGTGGAGATGAAAGAGAAATCATGAAGTCACGAATTTATGTTGGTAAATCAATTCTCAACTTTGTAGAACTTCTAATCTCACGATTTTGGTAAATATAGGTAATTAACGGTTTTCTTTTAAAATATTTAAATTTTCAATGTCAAATGTTTGAAATTCAAATATTTAACGAACTTTTAAAAGTTAAAATTTATAACGGATCATTTTGAAGATTATAGACACAATGGTAAAAGCTGAATTCATTGTTAGCACTGACAATTGATCACCCTCTGTTGATTCAGTGATAGCAAATATCGCATCCACTAAGTCAGCAAAGCATTAACACCAACTAAAGTGAATGAACATTTCATTTCATCAATCAAGTCCAATGCTAACGGCATCCATTGTAGTTGAATCTAAACCCACATTCCATTTTCTTCTCTTCCCTCAAAAATTGTGAGCAAAAAGACACACGAATTGCATACCTTTGATGGTATAAAATATTAATGAAAGAAGCTTAAACTTACCCCAATTGCATTTAATTGTATATCGTGATGATCTCCATTCACACCATCAATTTTATCGATTTTAAGAAGATTAAGAACAACTGGACAAACATTACGATTAATAACTTTTTTGTCCAGAAAGCCATTCTCAATTAGATAGAGTAGTGTGGAATTTGCACTTTTTCGTACCTATTTGTGAAAATAAATAAGAAGTAAGCAACATAAAGATGTAGATTAATCTGTATCCAGTTAAAACTCAGTCTCAAATTTATGAATGTATAATAGAAATGGTAAAAAATAGCAGAAAAACGAGATTTTAATAATTATGAATGAAAATGAAAAGCTTTTGAAGAGATGAAGAAGTGCTTTTCAAAACCAATTCACAAGAGCTGCTTCTATGAATATATAGAGACTGAAAAGGTGTGAACACAAGGTGTCATAAATTAATAATATACAAAAAAAAATCATTTACCGTTGCCTCATCTGATAAAAATTTCAATAAAATTGATAGAATGTGATCCAACAGCAGAACACCAAAAGTTTGTACAAAATTTTGATCGAGCTGCGTTAGACATGTACAGATTTGGATCATGTTACCGCTCCCCACAAGACTCGCTCGTACTTCCATTTCTGTAAAAAAAAATAAGAGAAATAGAAAAAATGAAAATTACAGTACAGATATTTTTTTTTTTGGTGTGAGATTATGAATGTCCACTGAATGAGTGGGTTCTTTGTGGCGCTTTGCATCAAACAAAAAAAAAAATAAAATCAGGACAAAAAGAGTGTGTTGAAAAATTACACTTGTGCGGACGATTTTTTTTTTTTTGGTTTTGTTTTCACGTCAAATTTCAATCAATTCAGATAGAAATAACTTCGAGAGGTGCGTTTGTCATTCATTGAATTACCAGAAGTGCTTCAAATACTTTGAATTCTTTATCACATTTCCCCATGAGTGGGATTTTATAATTGATAATTTTTTCATATGTCAGGAAAAATCCTTTGATTAAAGAAGGAAAGTTCTTTGAAATTTGAGCCAGAGATCCAGAGATACTTAATGTTTGAAATTTTCCCAACTGACTTGTTCTTTAAATAAAGTCTTTGAATCTATTCTTGACTGAAGCATTTCTAAAGCATCACATTAATTGCTATCATACAAAATTGTTCAAAAAATTCTAATTCATCTTAAATTAACTGTTAAAGCTTTAAATGGACCATCCCATGACATGATGATAGCCATCTCTTTCTCTTATCATTTATTTAGTTTTTAATGGAATGACAAATTCGAATATTACATTATTACTATCAATTATCAACATCATATTCATGCATGCATCTCATATGCCAAACGATGAAACGAGAATGAAAGACATACACAGTTGTACATATAAGGGCAGCATCAATGCAAAGAGTTTTACAAAAAGGAAACACAGATAGATGAAAGGAGAGGAAAGGAAAGAAGCTGGTTGAGAATGATTGAAAAGAAAAACTTTAATGGGATTTTGTGGAAAAAAAAATTCAATCATAAAAGTTTTTCTTATTCAACTGAATCATCCATAACTATTGTGTTTTATTTTATAGACCATTGAGAGTATGCATGAAATGTGATTACATGGCGAGAGTTAGCAGAATAAGAAGTTGTATTACATAAGAATAAACTTAATAGCAATTGCATCAATTGCAATTTCTTCGTCTTATGTCTTTCTACATCTTGTCAATAATTCTACTGTTGACTACACAACAACAACAACATAATACGACAGCACAGAACACGATATAAAATTTGAAACATGGTAAAATAAAGTGGAAAAAATTCAATTATGTTTGCAACATTGAAGAGCATCTAATGATTCGATTTTCAATCACATTTTCATTACACAGTCCATTTACGTTTGCAATTCTGTTTCTGCTTTTCTTCCTCCTTTACATTACTCATTTATCATTTGACAATGTTCTATGCTTCATGCCTTTCTTTCTTTTCTTTTTGCATCTTAAGACTCATTTAACAATGAAACGAGAGATATTCTCATTTGTCAAAATTATTTGCTTGAAACTATGGGGTCGATTGCTAATGACGTCCAACAAAGTGTGTTTTGAGCTGTAGGTTTACTTTTTTGTGACAGAACGATGGACATCGTTAAAGAACGACTCCTAGTGCTGCACAGAGAAGCTCTGATGGAACAGCAAAAAGACAAAAACTTTGTTTACTAATTAAATTCAATTTTAACTTTTTAACCAAAAAAAAAATGTCAAAGGAATCCCGAGAAGCACAACTTAGTCAACAGGAGCAGCATAGCTTCACAAAAACAGCTGAGAATAAAAACTGATATTTTTCAAAATATGTCGTTCGGGTATGTTCATCAAAAATATGATTATAGACCGGTTGGGTCATCAAAGTACATTATTGTGACTGTACAATAACAAAGCTCGTGCATGAGAAACTTTTTTAGAACACTTGATGATGCGCATTTTATTCACAACGCCTTTTACCATTGCACTACACCCTTAAAAATATGTGCTATACATACACAATACCCGTACAGTATAGAATTTTCTTTCCGTTTTTCCATCATCTTCGCGATATATATTTTTTGAGGTTATGTCACATTGTTATTTTTTCCTTTCCATACAAAAATATGCTCGACGTGCTTTTCACATTTTTTTTTTATTTGTTGTGTATATATCTTGTATTTATCAAACATCACAATGATTTTTAATTGATTTCCGTCTTGTCATGTTGAAAAGACTGTCCACAATGTTAGAAAATGATTTTTTTTATTGCCATCCATTATCAAGTCCACTTGTCAGGAGCACCACAATGAAAAATAATAATAAATTTGTCACTGAACCTTAATAGTGAGATGGCATTCATCTCAACTTTTATTTAAAAGATTATTTAAGAATTTTGCACAAAACATCCTCGGCGTGAAAAAAAAGAAAGCTTCCTCAAGAGCTGATGAAAACACTGAATAATAGTAGTGTGTAGGCTCAAGAGATGATTTTTTATGTTCACCGCACTGACTCAGAATTGTATGGCAAATATTCCCTCTCTCGCCCTCGCTTCGGTTTTAGAATTCATCGAAAATAAAGAAGCGAGCAGCACAGCACGAGAAAAAAAAACTTTCCCTTCATTTTGCGCATGTGAGTTCTTTTCGTTGTGCTCCACCAACAACTTTTTTTTTTATTTGGAATATGAAGGGAAAAAAGAAATCCGAAAAACGATCCCGACGATATTTATTGTGTGTTTTTTTTGTGCTCCTAGAGAATGAATAAGAAGAACGCAATAACAATATTTTCACTGGCTCGCTGTGTTATCAGGACAAAGTCGTAAATAATACAAAGAAAGACATTTTTGCTTTACAACTTCTGGTTTCCTCTTTATTATCCTATTTTTTCTATGTGTCCTTCGGATTCATTAAGTATGCGAATTATGGTAAAATTTGAAGCATTTTAATAATTTCTTTCCCATTCTCTTATAAAGCATAAAAATTTTCCATCTGAAGTATTTCAGCATTGTCATTGTCCTATCTGTCTGTCTCTCCTTCCTTGTCTATCATTATTCTTGCGCTATGCTATACATATTCTCATAAGACTCTACATATAATGTAGAAAAAGGAAAAAAATATTTATAGAATAAAGAAGAGGATTTAAGGAGATGTACCAGTAGTTTATATGAGCAATAAAAGAGAGATATTCAGGTGATTCTCTGGCAATAATTCAAGCCTTCTTATTGCTCTGATGTCATTCTATCTTCATATCCATCTAAGGATACAACAATGTAGTACAAAGAGGGTCGATTGTAGAAGGTGAAAGGACTTTTGACATCAGCCTTACAAACTATAGTGCTATGGGAAGGTTTGAAGCTTTTTTATTGAGTTTATATGAAAAAGTCGATCAAAGAATGAAAGATTGGGTCCTAATAGCCTATTTTTAATTGACATGGTTGACGAACAACCCAAATAATTCCAAACAGGTAAAACCCAAGGAATTAAGTGCCTTTCCGTCTATTCAAACCTTAAATCACCATTTTTAAAGATGAGAAATGAGAGAAAATGCCATTTATAAAGGGATGCTTCCACACATATTTGTTAAAGGGGCTCAAAAAAAATTGTGGGAAATCATAATGAATATAAATGGACATTTTTGTGGTTATGAATATCACATGAACCTTAAAGAATGTAGCATTAAAGGAAATTTATATTTCATTTCTTGAACTTCTTTTTTTGCCTCTCATTAAACAAACCTTTTTAACCCCAAAATTTAGGGGCATTTGAAAAATTTTTGTAGATAATCATGACAAATTTACATCAATAAATTATTATTGCAAGGATTCAATAGAAGTTAATTTGATATTTCTGACAAATTCTCATCCTGACATCTTTTCTGAGCCTGATTATGCACGTATCTGCATGAAAAGTTCTTTTTCCGGGATTTAATTCCTCAGCTAATCCTTTGGATGCAATCTTCGACGTTTATGTAACGTAATACAAACACAGTTTCGTGTAATAGCAGTAACAATAATAAATAAAAATGCTAACACGCATACAATAAAAAAATATCAGATAATTTGATATCATTTTCCGTCTATGTCTCTTATACACACTGACTTTCCTTTCCCGAAGCATGTATATACAGCATAAAGTATAAATAATAACAATATTAAGTTTATATTTTTTTTCTCCTACTCGATGTAAAAATAGGAAAGGAAATTCCGGCACGGTTTATTTTTCATAGCGTCATACATTGAGAAATATTTAGAATACTCGGTATGTGTGTGTGTATGTCTTTGTGCCTGAAGTCCTGAATGTAGGAAGATAGACAGAGTTGACAGAAAGTAAAAGCAGCTATAAAGAGAATGTTCAAGATACCTAAATTAAGCACGAGAAACATGCGGATAACAAAAATACGGAAATGTTGTGGTAGCAAATAAGCAGCAGCAAAAAATCAATCTCATTGTGGTGTTCGTGAAATTTTTCATCATCCACAATATATATATACATATGGATGTAGCTGTATGAGGGTATATTAAGTTAGCATTTTTTCCTTCTCCCACAAAAATTTTCCTTTTCTTCGGCTTGTTTACAAAAAAAAGAAGGAAAAAAAATAAAATTCCCTGCAGACACCCACACACACATTTGAAGAATTTATTAAGGAAGAGTTTTGCACACCAACACATTATCTCATTTATCCACCCCATACAGTACGTGCGAATATATTTTTGTTGCTTTTATTTTTATTATTAGTTTTTGTATATCCGAGAGCAACGGAAATTTTTTATTTTGGTTCAACGGAATCATTGGCATTGATATTACGTTATATTATGTTGTGTGTATACACATGTACCTCATAGTCTCGGCATATTTCAAGAGGAGACGACGTCGAGTTTATTTTTTACGTTGTACAAGCCATTTAGCACAATTCCACACGAATACACACACAAAAATGCCTTTTTAACCATTTACATAAAAATAAATTTTTTTTCTCTCCACATTTTCGGAAATCTATTAAGGTGTGTATATTGTGGGTGGGTTGGTTGTGTGCCACATTTATTGATAGATATAGAGGGTAAATGAAAATAATGAAAACAATAAAAGCTCAATGCTAAAATAAGATTCTCCATAGCTTTAAGCACT